ACTAAATTATTTTTTAAGATACAGGCCTGCGAACTTGGGGGAAAAACGGTCAAGGAGCCGAAATTGATGTTTTTTATTTATTTTTTAAAACAAACTAAAGAACAACAATATTTTTTTTCGTATTGATAAGTACATATAGATTGTACTAAAACATTATTAAGCTCACCTAAGAAGTATAACTTTAGTTATTAATCACCAAAGTTGCCCCCTCCGGCTATGCAAGCAAATGCGACTTTCCACCTCTTCGTGATGTACGATTTTTTGCGTCCGACAATTTTTTTTCTTGGTGAAAATAATTCTGATTTTGTTTATTTTGGACATCGGGAAATAACATATAAAATTATGAAGCAAATTAAAAAGGTCGACCAGCTACCCCCTGTTCAATCTTATCTGAAATCACCCTACAGATTCTGTTATAACATACGTTTGGATATAATGGACTATATTTGGGAAGTTTGTAAGTAGTTCATTATTCCATTATAGCAAACTCTTTGACAGCAGTTATTATTTCAGACATTATGCGGCTTTGGTGAGGTAGCGGTGGCCGCTGTGGCATCCATTTTGCGTACTGCTGCCATGCGCTTGGTGGCTCAGGAGCCTCGTATGACCCAAAGCGCACGTTGGTGACGATCATCAGTACAGCTTAATAACAGATCATTACCCGTTTTTGAAGTTCAGAAGTTTCAATAAGCCAGCTCTTTCTAATATACATTTTCATTTCATCAATCTCGCTGGTTAGGACAGACTCCAGGTGTAATCCACCTCCAAGGCTGTAGTGAGATCTGCATTCTGCATACTCCTTTTACAACAGACCAAAATTTTCGTCATATCAAGGTTTGTTATAATGGAGTTATACTGCAGTAAGGCTGGGCAACTGATTGATTTAGTTTGCGATTAATTGTTTAATGCCTTATTAATCACAATTAATTTTTTTTTTTTAAGTGGTTCATCGGTTGGGTTTTGAGTTAGGAATTCATGGGAGTAGGAAAAGATACCTCCTTTACAGCTTTGCACATATTTATCGATTTTAGGAGGTTGCACTGTTGCATTCCAAAGTAAAGCACTTTAGCATTCCCTATGATTGTCATACAGAGTAATTAGAAGTGGTAAATGATACTGTAAAGTTATTTGATCTTTAAAATTGTTTACCCGTGTTTTCCTTTCGCCTGGGCATCTTTTGATGCCCAGGCGGTCGAAATTAATCCTTAGTCCCCCATTGGGGTGTGCCAGATGCCCTTCGTTAACTGGAAATGTAAATCCCCCCCCCCCCCCCCCCCCCCAAAAAAAAATAAAAAAAATTGCCTTAAAAGACAGGCAAAAGGGAAAGACACAAAAAATTGGCTTCTCTTTTTGTGGGCAGTGCAGTCAAATTCGTCAAGTTTCCTATAAGTCTACATTTCACCATCAATGACATAGAAAGAAATAGAGAACAAATTGTGTTGCTTTTGCACTTCTTTTAGGTATTATGCTTGAAGGTAAATGCAATTGATTAAAGGGTAATGATTAATCGAGTAAAGCTTTTTAACTCATCGCTTAGTCCTACTGTATAAACCTTTTGGCGACTTAAGGTTTCCCCCCAACAGGCACCTCGTTGCCAAAATGCTTTCAGGTTCGGAATCATTTATGGGGTTTTACTCCGTGTCAAATCGTTTTTGGTGTTGCTGTGCAAAGGTAAATTCCACCCAAATGCCTGGCATTGTGCCCACCGATGCACTATGCGACCTCGAGAAGCTGTCAACCAACTCTCCCAAGTGATTTTGTTTTGTTTTCCACGTGATGAACATTGCTGTCGTCACCGTCGCACATGAACGGCGATGCAATCATATCTTGCCACCGAAACGCCTGAACATCAAATATAAAACGTGTGTCGATGAGCCTTTCATTGACAAAATAAGACGCCGAGTCGGCCAGGCCAAGAGGGTTTCATTAACGTAACAAATTATTTAATTAAAACGAAGTTATCAACGAAGAACAGCCTCGTAGTCTTTTTATTATTGGGGGGGTCTATTAATACGGGAATATGTGCGCTTTATATTGATAAGCCATTTTATTATGAGAAAAATGAACTGTTTAATAAAAAGTTACTTGCCCTATAACTAGGGCTCCGTGTTTTCGGAAAAATCCGAATAACTCCGAAAAACACCCGCCGGTAAAATTCCTGTCAATTCGGATCTATCCGATAAACTCCGAATTGTTGTGCCCATGCCAGCCTCCCCCCCCCCCTCCCTTCCCCCCCAACAACAAAAAAGTAATTTTTTTTTTTTACAATTTGAGCAGCGCAGGATTAATGGTCCTGCGAAAATGACACCATAATTATCTTTCAAGCCTCGGGTCATTATCAAAAGGGGGTCTTGCGGCTTGTCTTGTCAAGGTTGGTTTACGGAAACAGGTCATCGTACCATTCGAGTCACGACAAAAGCCACTCTTTTAGTTTCCAGTTTGGGCCATGGGATTTGGGATTTAGAGAAAGGAGTGGGTATGTTTTTGGGGGTAACAGTGAAAGCTATGGACCATAGAGATTGTATAAAATAGGGAAGAGGGGCAGTTGAAACTTCTCTATTGCATCCTTAACCACTCCACCTCGCGCGGCCGCGGGATAGATTGATGGGATGACTACGAGCTTCCTTGCGGCTACCTCCGGCAGTTTATTAAGGTATCGACGTTTATCGAAGCCACACTTGGGTGCGACTTTTGTCGTGGGACAAATTAGTATTGCCAATGACACCAACGCCAAATTCAACTGAAGAAATGTTAATTGATACAAGCGCGTTTTATTTTTTATCTGGCATATGTTTGCATCCGGTTATTATTTATTATTGTTTGATGGGAAACACAGCGAAATTAATCTTCGAATTTCGGAGAGTTGGGGATTTACGAAAAATAAACTCCGATAAACACCGAATTTTCGCTAAAAAATAAACTCCGAAAAACACCCTCCGAATTTCACGAAAAATAAACTCCGAAAACACGGAGCCCTACCTATAACACACGGTGCCCAGAAAGGACAGGGCCAGACTGTTCTGCAAGAATTCGTACACTGCAAGTCTCGCTATATTTTTGTCCCACAGTTATGCGTCTTTAGGAGCATCCGCACACTCGAGGCGTTTCTCGGCTGGTGTACCTAAATTCACGCGGCAGCATTTGAAAATGTTTGATTACATTATGTCGAGATACTACAGGGTGATTCAAGGAGAGGCCAGGCTCTTTAAATCGACCGCAAAATTCGGTTTCTTAACCTATCGCGCTACGACTTTGTGCAGCGTTGCCCACAGATGGTGCATCTTTTTTGTGAAATTTGCAAAGAGCGAACTTACCTGAGGAAAAAGTAAAGAAAGAAAAAAAGCTTAGCTCCTATGGAAACGCAGCGACGCCACCGGTCTTCAAACAACACGGCGCCGGTTCGCACGGGAGACAAGAGATGGCGCAAGCGGTCGCCACGCCAACTGCCGCCAACGAACGAGCATACGACGCCGAGAGCCAGCGTCTTTAGCAGTCAAGGAACTGTAGTTCCTTGTTGTTACCGCGCCTGTTTTTGTTTCTGCGACTGTCGCCGCCTGCGGAACGCGCGCCGCTTTTGAGTAGAGAAGTTTGTTTGCTAAAGACGCCGGCTCTCGGCGTCATATGCTCGTTCGTTGGCGGCCTTCGTTGCGCCTTCTCTTGTCTCCCCTGCGAAACGGCGCTGTATTGTTTGAAGACCGGTGGCGTCGCTGTGTTTCCATAGGAGCTAAGCCTTTTTCTTTATTTACTTTTTCCTCAGGTAAGTTCGCTCTTTGCAAATTTTACTAAAAAAATGCACCATCTGTGGGCAACGCTGCACAAAGTCGTAGCGCGATAGGTTAAGAAACCGAATTTTACGGTCGACTTAAAGAGCCTGGCCTCTCCTTGAATCACCCTTTACTTCATCGTTACCTTAATCCGTGTGTTGCATGACGCCTGTCAAACTAACCATTGGGTTGATTGCCGTGCCACCATGCATTGTACGAAGCACAAAAAAAGGTTAATTTACGTTCATTAGTATCGTCTGACTACGTTGTGAGAACTTACCTTGAGTTTTGACCACAAGCCACCGGGACGTCCCTGCTTGGTATAAAGCGTGGTAGCTTTGCACGCGACATACGAAACACACATGTCCTGTCAACTCGTGGTCGTAAGTCGCCATACCGTAGTCAAGCGCAACTGCGTGAAGCTGTCTTTACTCGCGGTCTTACCTGTAAAGCTGTAAAACTCCACATAACATAGTAAAATGCTATGCCATTTTGGGCCAGGTCACTTACAGGTACCAACACCGCTCTTCATTAATATCCTTGCAATGGTTTGGTCGAACGGGTCATTTTAGTTTAGGACCTCTTAGACACGTGAAGTTGTGCCTGTAATGAGCTCGGTTATTCAGAGGCAAACTCCAATAATATGCGCTGCTAACTGCGCAAGCCCCATAGGAAAACATGCACAACACCCAGTAACCGGAAATGGATATGACAACTGGACGCCCCCATCTTGTTTGCTGTTGTTTACCTTGAAAATGGGTCTATAGAGATTTTACTGTCAGTGATATACCATAATATGCTGAGCAAGTGCTCACTCTAAGTTTAGAGATAATCATTTAAAACTGGGGGATGGGCACACCTTAGGTCAGCAGTGTGTAAGGATATGGCCTTTTGTATTTTTCTAGATGTTACAAAAATGAGGGTGGCGCTTATTGTGGGAATGGGTGGATGCTCGGTATATTACGGTACTCTCTGTAACAATCCAAAATGATGAAGTGTGGTATTTGGCATTAGTTTTCAGCAACTTTCTGCAGGTGAACTAGAGGGTGGCAATTCTTATAGATTTCAAGGTACTTCTCTGTGGGAGGGAGAATGTGTATTGCAGGTTGATAATGCATCTAAGATATAATTATAGAAATTTATCCAAGATATAAATACAGAAATTTATCTAAGATATAATTACAGAAATTTAGTGGCACTAGCTGTTTGAACTTATAAACGCTTCTCTATCATAAGGTGAAAGAAGCGACTGACCAGGAAGGACTTCGAAATGGAGTAGAGTGTGGTGAGTATTGTATGTACCTTTTTATATCATTTCCTGTACTGACAAACTGCAGTGCAGAGGAAGCTACGATGGTCTTTATTGCTTTCTAATAAATTTTACTCCAACCATAAGCACTGTACTTGTTTTTACCGTAAGAAAAAAGGTTTTGCACATTATTCTTGCGCCGCGCTAAGTAGTTCCTACGAGATATGGTTGGCAGAGGAAAAAGCAATGCATTTGATGTTGTGTACATCTTGATACGATTGCATATATCTAATGTAAAATGCATCTACATATAATTTAATTCTCCACATAAAGGGGGAAATAAGTAATGCTCTGCGAGGAGCCGGACTTTTTACTATGCCTCTTGAGGTGAAAATGAGTATAGATAATTTAGATTATTGTATTGTATTATGGGATTGATAAATTAATTAATTAGTACTTATTTTCTCTCTGAGAGCAATGAAATGTTTGGTCATGCAGCTGTATCAAGTTTATGTTATGAAGTACCCTTTGGGGTCATTTTTGTTGCTCATCATTAAGAAAAGGCTGCTGTTAGTGTGATGAACTCACAAATCTATGCAAATGCCTGCAACAGAGCGCGCTCATTGTTTTTGTGCTGCACGGTCAAACCTGTATACTAGCCATAAAATATAATAAATTTTCTAGTTTTCCAATGCCCTTTCCTGCCTTATATGAGCTAGCCGTGCTAGGTTCATGCTTGCCAGGTGTGCTGCCGTACTGCCACAGTCAGACTGCCCGAAGCTCTCACGAGTGCTCCTCCCCTCTAAATTTGCTGTTGTGCAGGGCCCCATATCATCAAGCGCCTGAGCCCCGCCAGCCTGCCGAGCCTGCCCAACGGCCAGGCAGCCAGTGGCCACGCCCACTTCTACCTCCGTAGCAGCTTGGTGGACTTTGACTGCGACGACACTCACGAGCTCCGCCCGGTGACCAACATGAAGTTGGCCTCTGTGCGCACCCTCGCCAAGCTGGTTTGCTCCTTCCTCAACACGTGGCAGGCCTGCACCATCTATTACGGCATCACCCGCGACCGCTTTGTCCAGGGCGTCCACCTCGACCATGCGGAGCGGGATTCTCTCCGCTTGGGAATAGACGCCATGGTGAAAGGTCTGCAGCCACGGCTGATCCCTTCGAGCATATCGGTGGAATTTGTACCTGTGCTGCGGTATGCCGGGGAAATTCCGCCGAGCAACCCCAAGTATGTGGTGGAGGTACAAGTGTGCGGGGTGCGGCAGACGGTGTACACTATTTCGGGTGGGACATGCTACCTGCGGGAAGGTGGCCTCACGCATGAGGCTACAGCCAACAGTGTGCGTGGCTGGATTGCGAAGCAAGAAGAGGAACACTTCCTTGCCAAAGAGTGTGGCAAGATCTATGAAGCTGTGGAAGAGCCACTCATAGCCCACCCGAGCGAGGGAACGGCCTTGACTGCTCTGCAGGTGTGGGATAAAGTGGTTTTTTGACCACTCTCACTGTATGACTGCTTTGGGTTTCTACAAGTGCCTAGGCCCCTGCTGGACTTCTTTATTAAGGTGTTTTCCTCTCGCATGTGTCAACTTCTGTAGGTCCCTTTTACAGGGCTTGTTGCAATGCTTTCCTCATGTTGTGCCTGTTTCTGCACCTTTTGTGGCTATTTCTTGTTGTGTATACAACTTGAGATGTTCTTGTGCTTGACATAGTGCAGTGAAACTGTGGCTAGACTCCGTTGTTCAAGTTAAATGTCTGGGACTCATCTCGTCTGTGGCTAGACTCCATTGTTCAAGTTTAATGTCTATCTCGTGTACCATTCATTATATTCATGGTACAGGCAAAGTAATTTCAAGTCCAGTGTTTTTCCTGGCTGTTTAGGGTGTTCCTAATTTATACTTGTATTTCTGTCGCGCATTTCCTTGCAGTTGTGTTTTTGTCATTTATTTGCTTTGACTAGACAAGGAGTAGCTTTTGAGGTATGCTCCGAGGCTGTGTACTTGTGATATTGTAGTTCCAGCTGGTTGAAAGATAACCTCAGCTTTGCCCTAATGTAGTTTGTCTTTTGAAATTTCCATGAAGTAAGTTAAGGATCAGCATACAAAATAATTTTCAGCATGGCTAGAAAATTTTTAAATTTCAGTGAGCATATATTTACTTCCTTACATTTCTCAACAACAAAAAGAAATGATGGTTTAGTGTGTGCTTCATTGATGACTAATATAATCTCAAAGTGGTTTGGAAGGGGGAATGGATACGTAGCTAACATGAAGAATTTTGTGGTGCCCCTCCCCGCACTTGGCTACGTCGCTGCTTTCAAATGGCTTTTCAGAGAGGTATTGCAGGTTTATGGCATGAAGTTGTATATTTTTGGGTACACATAATTTCACTGTAAGCATCCAGCAAAGGTTACAAGTGCAGTATCCTCTTTGAAAAAGTGCCTCCACTGCATAAACAGTCACGTGGTAGAAGCATGTTTCAAAGGTGCGAGCTTGTGCTTGTAATATTTTCTGCTTGCTGAAATAAATTATACATTTGTAAGACAGGCCTGTAAGTCGCAAGTATCAGGTTCCCTATCACAGTAGTAATCTAAATATCTATGACGTTGAAACTCGGTGCTGTAATTTTTCTTGCTGAACAGTTCATTGAAAGAGTCTTTCTATTTGCATTTGCAAGTAGGACATCATTGAAATATTGCAGGTTGATCTCATGTTAAACTAAAGTTTTTGTTGTTCATCTGTTAGGCTATGTAGAAGCCTGAACCTATGAGGCACTCCACTGCTACATTTACAGAATGTTGGCAAGGTTGGGATTATCTTGGCAGGCTATGGCCAATGGAATTAGCTGTCCAAGGTGTTTTCACCAGGGTATTGATGAGAATTTGCAATCTGAACTTGTCTAGAAGTTGAGGTTTGTTACTGGGCATGTGCAAGAAGGACTAGTTCCCTTGAAAGTCATTGGAAAGTGAAAAGTTACTACAGTAAACAGTCATAAACGTTTTTATGAAGTAAGCCTCTTATACTCCACACACATTCCTCCTATAGTTATTTTATATATTTGTTTTTGTTGCTTGTGTATCTATTTAGCTTGATATTAACATTCTTGGGGAACGTTTTCTACCCAGCACTTCACTCTTTTTTTTTTATACCTTCACAAGCAGTGAGAACATCATATGTGCATCTGAAATGTGCATACACTGTATTAGTCAGACTCAAGTGCTATTTATCTTTGCTGCTTCTATGTCTTACAATTTTCATTCTTGATCTTATGTGATATCTAATAAATGTTTATTTGAGCTAGCACCTGCCACGACTGAGTGTTTTGTAGATTTCTCCCAAGATTTTGGTTTGAACTATTTCAGCACACTGTGGAAACAGTGATGCTAGGCATACACTTTTGAAAGCATGTGCACAGTGTGACACTATTAGCATAAAAAAGCAATCTCCAAATTTCCTGTTTTTCTCTTAAAATTGAATGAAAACCTAGTAGTTTGGTGGAAAGTCTTCCTTCACAGCAGAACCCTAGCTAAGTGGTCTAGCTCCATGCCAGTCTGTACACTCTGTCTCAGTTCAATGTAGACAAGTACTAGTGGTCCCTTTCTTGCTAACAGTGTTGTGCAGCGTACCATGTATTTAAGGCTTCAACTGAATAATAGTTTCATGCATGATACTTTTCCCAGGATCTCTGTGGCAGGTTGAGGAAAAAGAGCATTTAAGTGTGGAAATACTGTGTATTATATACAGTTGATGTGCAAATATTTTGCTTGTCCCAAGTCAGTGGAAATCTTCCCAAATTTTATCCAGCAGTCTTCCCAATAGGAGGTCGCTGCATCAAAAAAAAAACAGCAGATGTCCACTGAATACTACAGTGCAATCCACTTATAACGATAATGAGAAAACCCAAAAATGCAATCGTTATAACTGATTATCGTTGTATCTTGACTACAAACTGATCGTTTCTAGTCTAGGAACTTTATAAACTGATTGTTATAAGTGGATTGCACTGTAGTCACAAAATGAAGTGTTTACCTACAGCATACATTGCACCGTTTTCCTATCCGTATTTTTTTCTTTTTCAACATTCTATGTCGCCGCCATCAGATTTAGTTCAGTTACCTAAGCTAAACCCAGTACACCCACCATAGTTCAGCATTTAATTTCGGTTTAGTGCATTTCACTTTCTTTCTCTTTCAACTGTCTACAGCCACACAACAATGGATGATCCACTCTTTGGGTATGTGCCAGAAAGAGTTGGAAACAACATAAGAAACACAGATTGATGCCACTGCAGTCAAGTTCAGTTACAGCCTCTGGTTGCAGAGCTGTTTGGTGTTTTATGCAGAGTCCGATTTCACATTCTTTTTACAAAGAGTGCTTGTTTGTTACGTCTGTGTTAATGCTGCTGGTGCCGGGAAGCACACAAGAATAAACAATCCACTCTCTGAGTATGTGTCAAAAAGACTTAGAAACGACAGTGGAAGAAACACTAATTGACGCCACTGCAGTCAAGTTAAGTCGGCCTCTGGTTGCAGAGCTGTTTGGTGTTATATGCAGCATCTCATTTCACATTCTTTTTGCAAAGAGCGCTTGTTTGTTACGTCTGTGTTAGTGCTGCCAGTGCCAGGACAAAGGTACGCACACATATGTTGACACTGCCCTTTTCACATATCCATACCTGCCAAGTCTCCCGCATTATCCGGGAGACTCCCGAATTTTGACCAATTTGTATGGTTCTACGATTGACAGAAAAATTTCCCGGAAAACACAAATTACCTCCCCCCCTCTCTTCCCCGCCCTTAAACAAGGTGTTCTTGCCGTTGCAACAAGTGACTGAAATGATAATGAGGCCCAGCTGTATCTCGCTAGCATGAGCATTGCAATATAAATGTAATGTTGTTTTCATGTAAATTTGTTATCAGTATTTATTTTAAAAAAACCAGCCTAATGGTCTACAATTGGGAGCCTTTTTAATCATTTTAATTTTATCCGGCGCTCCATGTTGACGTGGGCCATTTCATGCACTCCGCCAAAACATTCCACGGGCCGCTCAAGGACTAAAAGAATCCTGCAAAGCAGTACGTTGGATTTCATACGTATGTAGGGCAAACGGGAAGATGCATGAATGATAGCAGAACATGCACGGTTACCAGATAGCTACTAAAACAGTCCCCGCCGGGCAATCCGGCAGCGCACTGGGATAGGTGCCCATGTATTTGTACCGAAGTGCCATACAAAAACATGCGTGCGAAGGCACAGAGACTCAGCACTTCGGCGTACCAAAGAAGCTGATCACGCCGCGAGACCGGCGAAACTTACTTTCGACGAGTTGTGCCTCTTTCCTGCAGTACTGCACCTTCGTCAAAATTTTCACGTGTTCTCAATGGCAAGACTCACTGTTTACAAAGGGTAGCAAAAAAAAACTTATCAACGGATGTCGACGAGCGAGTAGGCAACGTGTATTCAGCACGCTCCCGTCAGCCCCTGCAACGCTCCAAAAACGCGATTTGTATGCATGCAAGATGGCCGTCCGGTAACAGCACAGCCAGCGCCTGGTTAATGACATAGTGGAGTCGATTTCTGGCTAAACTGGGCGCTCAGCAGCGCTTCCGTGGTCGGAGGCGCTCATTACTGCAACGAATCGACGACTCATTGCTTTATCGATAGATTGAGAAACTAAAATAAAAAACAAAATCATGGCCATAAAATGGAGCGCTAACGTTTTAATTATGACTTGACGTCGTCGAGCTAGCGTGAGCGGCAACGTTACTAAAACACTCAGTTGGGAAACTCGCCGTCGAAACCTGGGCCGCTGGCGTCCACCGAGACCGAGCTAAATGCGACAACAGCGCCACTCTTTATCGTTCGTCTGTACTGTGGTCGCCTTGAGCTTTTTGAAAGCCTATTTTTGCGTAAAAACAAAACGGAAAAGACTCTTTTTGCATGAAATTTATTGGAGTTTAGTACCAAATGATGGCCGCGTGATGTTTTTATCATCTTTAGTTCGCAAGGTTTTGCGGAACAATTAATATTGTTTTTATACAACCATGCCTCAGCGGGCCTTTCAGGTAGCGCGTCCCGCCCTAGGTGCATTTTAACTTCGGCAGTTGAACGCGGCGCGTCCGCTGGGGAGATGGGGGTGGCACCCCTGTATCCTCTACCGCTGTATCTGTTCTTAGAGCCATATTAGAAGTCACGTGCAGTTCCTCGAGTGGCCGCTGCGGGAGAAATGGTGGCGTTGTGTTCGTCATTAGCTCGGTGATCGGAGACAGATTGGGGCCATTTTTTAAAATCTGTCTCTATGGGAGTTTCCCAACTGAGTGTTTTAGTAGTGAGCGGCTTCTTCGCAGTTTGAGAAGGCGAAGCCGCTCAAAATCCAACATGGCGCAGGCCCTCCGCCGCCTCCGTAGGTACCGTAGGGTCTCCGTACCGCGGTAGGTTTTGTTTGGAAATTTACGGTTCGCGCGTGCCGTGTCGCTTGCTATGGCAAAGAATTGAAAGTTATGCTTGCCTACCTTGTGTCCAGCAGTTGATAGTTCGTTGCTTGCCGTCAGCGTCTTCCAGGGGAATCGAAACAGATGCAGCATTTTTCGCACTCTTTGACGCATTTATTCAGTCATTTGCATGACAGATAAACAATTTACACGGTCACTTTAAACAAGCGTTGATAGGCGAAAGAAAACTGATGATGCGCGCAGCTTCTACGTTAGCAAGAGGTGCTACAGTGAAGATACAATGCGCGACACTGTTAGCGCGAACACGACATGGCGCTTTTTCACTTTTAAAGGCTATCGGCGGGCACCAAATATTACTGCTATAGTTCGCGAAGTGACTGTTTAAAGTTTCGTAAACTCAGATGCTTCTCCAAGTGCCTGTTAAAATTTCGTGAACTCAGATGCTTTGCCAAGTGACTGTTTAAAGTTTCGTAAACTCAGATGCAACTATGGCGCGAGAATATCTGTTCGCTATTGAAAAACACAATACAGTCATGTCTCGCTGACATGGTCGATCATTTCGGTCACGCCAGTATATAGGTCATATTTTTGGGGACTGATATATGTCCCCATGCAATTCTAACTCGTCACGTTAAAGAAAGAAACCCGGAGTAAAAATGGGTAAGTACATGTTTTTATCTTTTTATTGTGGTCCCTGTAAAAAACAAACGAAAAAAAAAATTGTGAGACAAAAAGAATAGTAAAGCTCTTCGTTTACGGAATTTACCCAAAGCTTCACTTCACCATTATCAGATAAGACAATGGTGACTGGCTATGGTTAAAATTTTCAGGGGTTTCCAGCCTGAATCACTTGCAGTTCTTTCCCAATCCCAGTTGCAGATGACAAAAATGAACAACATAACACCTTCATTGTTTATTATTTGTGATCTTGGCATTGATTCATGATTATGGATGACTAACATTATGAAGAATTGTTTTGGGGTCTGGAGATGTCCATATATTAAAGAGAAAATACTGTAACAGCAAACAAACATTTGTTTCCGTGGCGTGAAAACAGAATAATGATAATTTTTGATATGTGTTACATAGGAGCTAACCTAGTGTGACGTAAATATGCAGCCCTGCTGGAGAATTTTATGTCTCGCAACTCGTGAGAGAGTCCCAGGTCCTGGTAGAGGAAGGGCAGAGCAAAAACTGCTGCAGAAACAGTCTTGAGCACGAGGGAAGAAAATAAATATGAAGAGACTAAATTTTGGGTGACCTTGCTTGGCCAAGCTGGGGTCATTTGTGTCCATACCCACTGTGTATTGGGCGGATTCAGAGGGGGGGGTTTGGATGTCCTGACCCTCCTCTTGAATTCTGCGTGTGTAAAAATTTAGGGCGTGGAAACGGGAAAGGAGTCTTAAACATATGATACGCTGACCAACACCTGACCCCCCCCCCTCCCCCCAGAAATGCCTGCATCCGCCTCTGCTGTGTATGGTACATCGCCCACAGCACATGCAGATGTAACAAAGTGTGGCATCTCTAAAGTATTTTTCTTTTCTTCGTCCGGCGGAGGGAGCGAGTGCTTTTTGCTGAGGACAGTTGGTGATTGTCGCCCCAAATGGCCACAGACTTACGGCACAACCGATTTTCCGAACCTCGTCTTCTTGCCACGAAGCATTAAGTTTCTTTCCTTAGATACACACTCACGGGGTCTCGACTTCAGCATCAAGATCAATTGGGGTGGCTAGTTGGTTGAACATCTAGACTGTGAATTAACAAGCGCAAATGACTAAGAAGAGAAGGGGACAGGACAGAGCGCTTGCTTACAACTTAATTTAATAGTTCGAGTAGCGAAAGACAAGGTGGAAGTGAAAAAGGAGAAGAGAAAGATAGAAATTAACTTCCAGCTGCCACTAAGACAACATATTTAGCTTTGGAAATCAAAGTAAAATGTTTTAACACAATACAAGACAATAAAGTTGTAATGACACGGATTGTGAGAGCACCATATCCCATGTCGCCCTGTCCCACCGCCTTGAGGAGAAGAGGATGCGCGCTACAGTCATGCCAGGCGTCATGAGCAGTTGACTTTGCAGATCCAGTCAAAGACAAGGTGTTTCCGGTAAATAATTGTCTATGCATATTCCAACTGAGTGGAAGTGGAGATCATATGTTATTGATTACTTCGACTGCCGTAATTAGCAGCCTGCACAAGTGTTTTTCAACACATGATTTGCCGGATGTCATTGTGTCTGATAACGGGACTGCACCAGCCAAGAGATGCAAGACTTCCTCAGGCTGAATGCTGTCCGGTTTGTGTACACAGCTCCGCACCACCCTGCAAGCAATGGCAGGGCAGAGAGGATGGTGAGGGAGGTGAAGGCAGTACTCCAGAAGCAATCTCAAGGAGATAGTGCAGAATCTCGCAATTTCTGTTCAAACAGCAACCCCCCCCCCCCAATTCGATGACCGGCAAGACACCAGCCGAGTTCATGATAGAACAGAAGTTGCGTTCCTCACTGGACAGTCTTCATGAGAAGTTTCACCCTATGGCACACGATGGAGAGCAGCAAGGGTGGTTACAAATGGGCCCAGTCTTGTACAGAGTGCAGCAGGAGAAAACTAACAAGACTATGCATCTTACTAAGGGGAGGGATGTAATGTAGTGAGAAGTTTCACTGTTTTTGCTATGTTTAGCTGACTTCATGTTTTCGGTTGTCAATTTAGTTATGTATATGTTATCGGAAAAGCAAAGTGAAACCTACCAGTCGAGACCAAGACAGCGATGTTTCCGGCAGCGGCTCATGTCATTACACTCGAGAACTCTGTGGTTTCTTCTCCCGTCGCATGGCTTCGGGATCCTCTTGAACTGTTGTCATGTTACTGTTGTTTTGTGCTCTTGGTTTTTTTTTTGCTTTGTTTTTTCGTTTTTTTTACTTCCCTTAATATAGCGCATGTAGCGGCCGGCTAGCAGGTGCACATGCGTAAGGGTGCCATGTACACACAATATCTTGTGCAAATAAATTACACTTTACAAATGCGCAATGAATTAAAGCGCTAAAAAAAAAATTCTTTACGATTTGAAAGTTTTGTTTTCCAATCAAAATGCATATTTGCTCGAGCGGTACACTGCTTTCCAGAGCCAAGGAGTGTAGCCAACGTGCGCCATCGCACATAATAAAATACTATCAAAATGCAACTTTTTTTTTCTTTTCAGGGTGGCAATGTTTCAGGGCAACAAGCATGGATGGTGAATCCTCACAGTCGTCATTTTGAAGCGGGCATCCGCGCTACGAAACACGGTGGATCGATGTTCCGCAACTCTCCTGTTCACTGCACTCAGTGGTTTAAAAGGAGCAAAATATTTTATTTTATTGGGCTTTTCCAAGTGTGTTGCCATGCCTCATGGGCACAGAAGAACATGTTTTTTTTCTGAGTGTACATTGAATCGAGGACCTATAAAGACAAGCTATATCAAGTCTAACCCTGGATTTATAAAGAAGATTAAGCACCATGAACTGTAAAAACTTCATTTCAATATTGTTAATAATAAAAAAAAAACATTTCCCTTGGCGCATGTCACCTCTACAACCTTACGTGGCCAGTAGTTGTGCACAGTAAGCCCCCAGAAGAGGGCACTATAGTCTGTTGCAACTCAAGAAGGTAGGGCGAGGGTAAGACGGGCCGGAAAGGAGGAAGCAGACGGAATGCTGGAGAAGAGAGGGAGAAACCTCCTTCTCTCTTTAGCATTCCGTCTGCTTCCTCCTCCCCGACCAGTCTTACCCTCGCCCTACCTTCTTGAGTTGCAACGGACTTTAGTAAAATATGTCTAACAGGGCAACTTGCACCCGCAAACAAACCATTAGCGACCTGGCATGCATTCCGGGTGTTTTCAGTGGGCTCACATATTGCAAGTTTACATTGGTTTGGCTGATGAGATGGAAAAATGTCTTGCTTTGCACTTGTGTATAAAGGTACCATGTGGCAAGTTGCTTTTTTTTTTTGCTGCTGTTGTAGCCCGTAGACATTGTTAACACAGTGACATATTAATAAACTCCCAATTTATACTTGCAGGTCAATCTCTCTTGCATTGTCTTGGAGCAAACGCAGCGAACCTACTAATTGCTACTTCATAGAATGGAGTGCTCACCAGTTGGCTCAACTTCCAGAAGCTCCGATTCTTTGCATCGATTGTTTATTCACATAGATGCCACATTGTTGGATCAGATTGGATGTTGCCATGTTTTGGCCAGTTGTGTCCAATTTATCATCTATCTTCCCAACCCCAAACAGCCAACCCACCTGATCCAATCCACTAATGTCTCATCTCTGTAAACAAAACCAGTGTGGTGAAGTAGCCCTCTAAAGGACTTCCCCTAAATGACTTCCTCTAACGAATTTCCCCTTAGGAATTTTTCCTAAAGGACTATCTTTTTTTTTAACAATCTCGGATAGTGATTTGTCATTTTTTATTATATTAAAGGGTACATCCATGGCTGCCCCAGTCCTCCCTACAGGAAATATGCCGAGTTGTTTTTTGCGTTGCTCCAGTCATAATATTTTCTTTCATTTTTGTGTTGCTAGCGTACAGAATTGTTCTATACAGTGACAATGCTATATCTTCTGTTCACGCTTTCTCGGCTTTACCTCTTTTGGGTATCAATATACTGTAATTGGTGGAACCGGACCATCATTAGAGAGTTTCTTGCACTGTTAAGCTCCGTTCACACACTTGCAACTGAGTAGGACCAAGAGAGACAAAATCGGTTTTTAAGCCTCTTGCAACGGCATAGGATCTGCTCCGCTGCAGAACATCTGGTCCTCCACCATCGCAAGGGGCTTAAAAACCGGTTTTGTCTCTCTCGATCCTACCCGGTTGCAAGTGTGTGAACGGCGCTTTACATATACTTGGACACCACCAGTGCAGCTTGGTTTGCTGAAATTGGCCTTAAATGTGAAGAATGCAGTATGCCGTATCACTGCTTTGGGATCTACGATGCTTGCCTCTTCAACCTCTTCTAAACCTTGGGGTAATAATCTGGCCATCGTGGCAAAGAAAATGTAGGAAATATATCCCTAGGGAATGCATAGGTTCGGAAAGGCTTCACCACTGCCAGCCAACTTTTGGTGCAATCAGTTCCTCGCAACCATCACTGTTTCCACCAATGTGACAGCGTTAGGATTCAAGTGTGTCCAAGCTATGGAAAATTACACACAACTGCTCTCTCCCTCAGATTAAACTACATCCAGTCCACTAGGCAGTGTTCATGTGAACGAAGCCAGTTTAAAAGTGCCGTGTTAAAATCGTCGCATTTTCCTTCAGCCGAGTAACCTGTTGCTCCGCTGAATCAATCACTCCTTCATTTCACATCAACACAGGATACAATATTACCTACCGTAAAATACCGGGGGAGCTCCAGCCCCATTTTCACTGAAAGCTGGGTTAATTTAGACATGGGCGCTTGTCCGGTTGAGTCGGGCGGATAACGTACAAATTGCAGAATTCCAAAGTTTGGGAAATGGCAATAGTGGGCGCTTCTGCGGTGTTTTACGGCAGATGTTTTTAGCAGTGTATAACATGTTCCTACGAGACTGCAACCGCTATTTCAATGCCAGCTCATTAGTTGGGTGATGGGATAATGGAATTAGAAACAGCAGATTTCGAGTATTCATCAGGCGCATGAATAGGAAAGTTAGCCAAGTGCTTTACTGTTTGTAAATTGTGAACGCCCGAGTTTTTTTTTTTTTTTTTTTGTGTGTGTGTTACGTACGTCAGAAAATGTTCTTTTCCTGAAAAAATAAGTAATGCGGTATTTTCGTTGCGATACACATTTGGAGTTCGGAACAATTCCGAAGCATGGTTTACTTTTAGGACGTTGACCCAGAAACAAAAGCATGTTTAGGAATTGCTCCTAACTCAAAATGAGTCCCTTGATGTAAACACTGCGCTAAATGTTTTTTTTTTTTCTTCTTTTTTGAAAAAGTCTATTTTGTGAAAGACGTGTCCTATTCAGGCACTAAAAAGCTAAAGCTTTCTAGGGAGTATGGCGCTCATTGAAGTGAATGACCACCTCCCACTACACCACTGTTGATGCTGAGGTACACTTTGGTTTTAAGCTGTTGCTCCTGGTAAAAGAAAGGGCTGTTTAATATGATTTGGCTTGCTTCTTTCGCAGGACCTGTCCTGGGAGCCATTAAAGTTGAAGAAGAGGCCCCTGGTTGTGAAGACGCCGAGGGCAAACGCTCTTCTAAGAATGACTCGCTCACCGTCTGCCAACAGATGGTGCACCCACACCGAGAAAAGAAATATCAGTGCCGGTACTGCCCTTTCTCCTGCTCCAGGTCGTCAGGCGTCAAGAAGCATGAAAGGACGCACACAGGCGAGAAGCCCTTCAGCTGCAACGTCTGCCACAAAGTGTTTGCAGAGAAGGGTAACCTGCAAGTTCACAAGAGAATTCACACGGGTGAAAAGCCCTTCAGGTGCCAGACTTGCCATATGGCGTTTGCGGGTAGCACTGACTTGAAGCGTCACAACATTACAGTCCACACGGGTGACAAACCGTTCAGGTGCGGAACGTGCGGGGCCGTGTTTTCCCGGCAGTTCCAGTTGAGGTGTCACGAGGCACTTCATGGTGGAGACCCGTTATTCCATTGCAAGTGGTGTGGGGAAAGGTTTGTGCAGAAAACCTTTTTAAATGCACATAAGACGGAGCACCATCCACGAGGGACATCCGCTGTATAGTAAAGGGCGGTGTAGCTTGGTGTGTTTGTTCAGTGTTGTTTGACCATTTTGAGTGGACCACCTGTTAACTGATAGCTTATTCATGAATCATCTATGATCTATCAATACTGGGTGCCTTTTAACACTAGGGTCAGGACTGCAAAGAGAACCATCGCTAATAGAGAACCCCTCAATCCCCATCGCGACAAGTATACCATATTTTCCGATATATATATCACACTTCCGCAATATAAATGGCTGTTGTCAAGAAAACAGTGTGTAGGCCGCAGCTTTATACAAGTTGCACCGCTATATTTTCATGATCGGCACACCAAAGGTTAACTGAAAAGCCTGCATACCTATGTGTGTTACAATTGCAATATTGTGCAAACGAGAGCAGTTTCAATATTCTCATCAATGAATTGAACGAGAAATATAACCCCAATAGCAAATTTTCAGGCCCTAGTGTATCGTATTGTGCTATACAAGATAGCCACGCGGCGAAGCGAAGAAGTGCTCGCGCTACCAACACGAGCACTCGGGACATTGTTCGGAGCCTTTGGACTGAAAGGACACACGCCGGACACAGCGGGACGTAACATTGATCTGATAACAATGTCTCAAGAATAAAAAAACATACTCCTAGTTATAGAAAATGTTGCATACAATTTGCATCGTTGTATAAAATGCATGGCAGAAATTTAAAAACAAAAGAGCGACTCGCGCTAGGAAATACGGTAGGCGCATTTTTGTTCTGCCATGCCTCGGAGCGCTTTACTTTCTACCATTCCTGGATACCTCAAGTTGAACATATTTTGGGACACTGGACTTGAACAGCTGGGCACCTGCTGAAGCAGGTGTAGAGCATGAAATGAAACCAGAACTTCCTATAAAATATTTTGAAACCAGATATTTTTGTGCAGTATGTGGTCTTCAGCCAGTTCTCTGCACAATTCCTTCAGCATAACGTCCTTGAAATAACAATACTTTTTAAATATTTGAACCAAGCTGTTATCTAAAATTCATTCACCTGTGTAAATGATTCTCCTCCTAAGTATGCGTAGTATGCACTTGTGTTGTATTTCTTGCATTGGTTGTTTTAATCTTTCATTAGCATTTTGTATGTTGATGTAATCTTTGTGTTTATGTTTTCCATGTCACACAGCAGATCAGCAGAGGTTTGCGGTCATGAAAAAAATAAACAAGAATTTGCCCATTGACAAAAGGCAAAGGAAAAAAAAGAAGGCAATTATTGTCTTAGCATTCCTTGGAAATCTTTCGTTTGCGACATAAACCTCCTTTCAGCTTAGGAATGTGCTAAGACAACTTATGAACTATGACAAGTAAACAATTATACTTGGAATTAAAATTGTGATATCTTAAACTATGCAAAATCACAAATCTCGTTTTATACTTGCCAGTTATCATCACCTCTTGTTTAACTGTGGTTAAGGTAGGCTTATCATTACCACTTTTTCTCACATTCCAGAGATATACTTTGTAATTGGTAAGGTACCTACTAAATTCTCAACAAATGGGCTTCTGTCAAGACCATTCATTTCAGTATGCATTACCTCCACAAACATGTCATTCAGTCTTGTCAGACAAAACATTTGTCATTCTCTTATTATTCGCAGCTGTTCTGCAACATAGAATCACCTGGCCGGAGCCAAATCCTTGTTAACTCAAGTTTTCGAGCTACCAAAACTAAGTTTCTTTTGGTAACATGTCGTGCAGTTGCATTTATTTGCGTTGATATTGCCGTGGTCTTGTTTTTATTTATATTCTTGTGTAACCCACCACACTCACTCCTCTGTAATGCCTTTAGACATGAAGGTAACTGAATAAACAAACAAACACAAGGAGAGAGTGGAAGTGCCAAACACATACAACCCAGCATTTGTAGTTTGACTCTGTCCCTGTGCTTTTTTTTTTTTAAATTGGAATACCATGCATTGCCTAGTTCAAGTCAATACTTTGATGCACCCTAATAACACAGCATGAATATCACCTTTCTCTTTATGATAGCTCTTTCCAAAAAAGAAACACTCCGATAACCAGGTTGTGCACAGGACGGCGTACCAGCCATGTCGATCGCACCACTATAAATGGGGTGCTGCATCAGTCACTACTCCAGAACATTGTCTTTTGGAGTTGACGAAGGTGAAGGGCGAATCACGGTTGGGGGGGGGCTTGTTTGCCGATTTCTGCTGATTTCTGTTGTGACGAGAGGCAAGGTCCTCCGAGGTCTGGATCAAGAAACGACAACAGCGGACTGCAACAGTTTTGGCGGTCCACCTTTTTTACGAGACTCGCCACGCCATTATGTCTCGGATCTGGAATTTGAACAAGGACCTAGGAGGTCGCAGCATAAAGGCACCATTATGCCTTTATTCTATCCCAACTTTTTCCTAACGTCAGTTTTTAGTTTGGGCCTGTTCATGACTAAACACTCCCGTTTTAATACAGATAAACAAGAAGAAAAAAAAAAAAAAGATATAAAAGAAGAAGAGAGAAAAAAAAAAGGCAGTTTGCACACACTCAAGTCTTGAGCTGGTTACACAACATGCGCTCGAGAGAACTAGATGAGGCTCAACTCATTCTATCCAAAAGAGACGGATGTGTCAGTGCATCTTCCGTGACAATTTCGGTGAAGGAATTGCTCTCTTGAACCTCTGTTCCCAAAGCTATTTAGATATCAACCTTTATTTTATTTGTAATTTTTTTTTATTTCTGTTCTACCTGTTTGATAGTTCATTTTCGAAGCTTTTCTTTCTTTTTTTTATTAAGTTTTGTTGTGTTTATTTTACCTCATATTTAGTTATAAATTCCCCCTCACATTTTCGCAATCCCCACCGCTGCCCTTTTCGATCTGGATGAGCATCGTATTGGCGCACGGTGGTGTATCACTACTGCCTGGTGCACGTTACCCCAGGCTACCGGTTGTACCGCACTGGCCAAATCTGGTCTTTCACAGCTGAGACAGGATGCCCACTGAGGCAAACTAACTTCCAGCTGTGTAAACATACACACACCAATTATTATTATGTCCACTTCTACTAGTCCTTGTCCTTATTCCTGTATGTGTCCCTAACGTTTAACCAGCTAGCCCAACAGTTCATTTTGATTAAGGCACCCATTTCGGAATGTAAAGCAGAGGCTGTTTGCGCGGGTACACAGAGGAAAGTCTTGAGATGTGTTCACAAAGGGGCAGGGGTGCTGTGGTCAACAAGTGAATGAAACTGGACGTGGAAGAAAAACGGCAATGTGCAACGAAGGCGTCGGTGTCGTAATGCAGTATTACCCAGAAAGCGAGTACAATATGAAAAAGGCCTACTGGTCGCCTTCAGGAAGCATGTGGTAGCATAGAAACAATGATGGAGCAGAGGCATACCATAAGACACCGAGCAAGCACCCATCAAGATTTGGAGATTACCGGGGCAGGCTTGGTTCAAAAGCAAAAATGCAGAGAAGCACATGATGGGGTAGGCTTCACCGCTCAGCACCGGAGAGCTCGGAGAAGTGGCTGACTAGGAGGAGCATCTCGGTTAGCTAACTGGGCTCGAGATGGCTGGGCACTTGGTGTGTCCTTTGCCTAGGTTTCAAACGTTTTAGAAGTCTCGTGTGGGAACTTATCATGACATGGGCACATGCTCTGTAATTTACAGCAGGTCAAGCCAGTTTCAGAGGGGAGCACTCAATAGAATGAATGTTGAATATTACCTGCTCCGTGATGTGCTAAGGAGCATTCTGGTAATAGTGATTTGTTCCAGAGTGTGTATCAGACTTTGGTCGAAATTATTATGTATGCCACAATTCCACAAAGAGCACCGTGGTAAACATTTATTCTTAGAAACCAAGTGTGTTGGTAAGGTTCATATACAAACGAAAGTAAATACTTGCGCGTCGTTTCTTTCGTGTGACAATTTATGTAGATTATTTTTATGTCTGCTCTTTCGTGTGTGCATGTACATAATTATGAGTATATACGAGATTTTGCTCGACAATGCCCAAAATGTTATCCGAATACTGAGCATGTTTGTGAATATATAAAAGAAGAACAAATGCACATAAATGATGATCACTTAATGCTAGGATTTGCATAAACCAATTGTCAGGAATGTGTCATGTTATTAAGTGGACGTACACTCCTCAGTAGCTCAACTAATAATAAGCCCTTGTGGCACGGAAATTTTTATATTTTTTCTTCGTACGGTTGTCCCTTGGCTAAGTTCATGTTACACATTAACCTGAACACTGCTGTAGCTATTCACACTGTGCCACATGGAATGCTGCATCATTTCAAAAGCACGACGTATAGCTTAAGACGAAACTAAAATGGTTCACATGTATATGCCCGAATTTCTAAGCATCTTGAATATTTTTTTTCTGTGTTCCAGTGCATCTGCTTATATTTGTAAAAATAAGCCTTATTTTTTACAGTCATATACTTCGTAATTTTTAATTTTTTTTTTTTCGTTCACTGTTTGTAGTTCTTTTCCCGTGTACTGCCCGACTTGATGTAGACTTACTTCCCTCTTTGCATGGTATAGGATGTCACTGAGAAAAAGAAGTGCGTGTACCACTGGCGTGTAGATAACTGTAAAGCATGGAAGTAGGAAGTTTCTGCCACCAGAAACTTCCTACTTCCATGCTGCCACCAGAAAGGAAGCCGGAGAAGGCTTCTGGTTTGAAGGGACACGCCACCAACGATGACCAAAACCAAGACGCTATTGGACGGACTTCGGCACCCTTGGAGGCATTGCATAGCAAATAATTATTCAAAATAAATCATTTTGCGGTGCAACATAGTAATGAGAAGCTCTAGAGCAGCATGAATATACGAGCATGCTTAATTTAGCTTTGTCGTCTTGTTAGTTTTGACTGTAAATATTACTCTGTCCTAGTACTAAATAGGGATGCTGCAAACTTCTTTTGAACTTTAGTTTCAATGATCAAGTCAAGCGGTTAGAAAGATTTCGAATTTTCGAACTTGCTGAACTAAGAAGTTCGATGCTTTTCAAATGTCAAACTTTGCACGTTCAGAAATGCAATGTTTTTCGAACCTTCGAAATTATTATGAGAAAAAATTCATTCCTTTACACTGCAAAGTTCTATGCTTGTCAACCTTTCGAACTTGATGAACTAAAAAATTCGACGATTTTTTAGCTTCTTGCACTAAAAGTTTCCAAGCTTTTTGAACTTCCTACGCTGATACTCAACAATCTTCGGACTTATTTATCTAGAGAATTCGAAAATTTTCGAACCCTGAAAAGTCAAAAGTTTGATGAACTTCAAAAGACCGGCGGGTGGCTTCATTTGGACTTAAGCAATAAGGCACATTCATAATTTTTTTTTTTTTTTAATTTACATGCGGTGCCGCATTCCTTGCGAAAGACAATGCCATTACTTTCAATGTTCTGGCATGCTTAGTTTTAAATAAATTTCCAAAGGAGCGAGGAGAGATTATGGGTTTTTGACGATTGTCATTAGTGGCATAATATTCATGGTAGAGATGTTAAACTTTTTAAGAATGATCTATGTATAGCCTAGGGTGTCATCTTAAGATATGATGATTGTTATTCAAGAGAGTTTCAAAAAAATGTCCAAACATGTATCTACAGGCAATTATGCCCTAAACTCGGTAATTTTTTAAGTCAATTGTTTGAGGTATCGCATTTAAATTTTCACACCACAAAGTACATATCATTGCCATCTGCAGAATACAAAATAATGTATTTGTTTTTTCACGTTGAATAAATTAACTGATGGGGAAGATTTCTACCTTGTTAAAATTAGAAATCTTCCCCATTTTTTTTTTCTCGCTTTACATTTTTGGGACGTGTTTCTTTTAGCATGTACACATTTTAGTGAAGAAACTTGTTTCAAAGCTTTGAGCCTCTGAATATGCAAGAATACAAAACTTGCAGCAGGTTTTTGATAGTTTTTTTTTTTTTTTCTCTCCAGCTTTTCATTCTTGCATTTATTATGTTTTTTTTTTCTTTTTTTACCAATGGCACAGTTATTTAGGTTGAAAGACAAAGCTCTGAACTTCCGAACCACTAAGCATGTGACGAGTCGTGCCTTCTGACAACTTTCCAACAGTGACCATCTACGTGATCTTTGATGCAATGAAGAGCGACAGCTATACATATGCATAAATAATTTCAGATTAAAATAAGCTCGACCATGCCCTCTTTTCCCGTACTGTTTTCTTTAAAAGCCCGAAATATCTGGGAAGGGGGGGGGGGGGGGGGGGGGGAGGGGCTATTTTAATATATTTCGTCTGGATTTCCGAAGAATCGTTACTATTTTACGAAGCTCCCAGAAGGCTTACCAGCATCACTGTTTATACTCTATTTTCTTGTTACCTTTTCTGGAACCCTCAGTCTTTTCATTGCACTTATCCTTTTGAAATTTCAACGCACCTTTAAATGTCAAGCTGCGGCACCATCAGTAATTTTATTTTTTACGTGGTGTAATAACTGGGTTGTGCGAATATCCGAAATTTTCAATAATACACTATTCAATATTCGCTTCAAGAAGAACTGCACTAGTTGCGTTTTTCGAAGTGTTGATTGCGGCGGGTTAGCCTCGTTGAGTGCGCTTCTTAGTGAGCACCGGTGCACAGAGGAGAAGCAAACCCACGGAAGCGAGCTCTTCGGGTGTTGCTTCTCTGCATTACATAGGTGCTCGGTAAGAAGCGCACCCAACAGGGTAACCCGCTGCAATAAACACTTGGAAAAGTATGAATATCGCAGTTGCGTGCTTGGAAGAAAAGCATAGATTAAAAGTGGGATGGTGCACACGTGCTGGCTGTATTTGGAAATAAATGGAAACTTTGTGAATATGTATATCTACATTGTAGTAAAAGCTCCAAAATTAAACCGTGTTACGCAAGAGCATACTATGTTAGGCAGAGGTGCCGTTACAATGCGTTCATCATGCGTGATTCAATCTTTCTTGACTCGTGATTAAAGAAGGAATATTTTATAAAGCAAGATTTGTAAATTCACTCAATTGGGTATAGGTGACCATTTCTATAGGATTCATTTTATGTCAAATCCGTCGTTTACTTGCCATCCCAAGATATCAGACCTTCTGAGGTCACAGTTCATAAACATAGGTAGAAACTTTGCTTTTAAATGAAAAAGTGGAACAACCTTCACGAGTTTAGCTGGGTTTTCGTCTAAGCATTATGCAATGGTAGTGAAAGGCAGGAAAAAACTATTCGATATTCGAATCGAAAATATTCGGCCAAAACCACTATTCGCTTCAAACTCAAAATCCACTATTCGCACAAGACTAGTAATAGCACATTGTGTCCCAGAGCAAACTGACCTCGCGCAAGCTTCCTTCAAAATATTTCTTTATCTTTGTTACTTTTCCTTTATCGAAGCACAAAGGGGCGTCTGTCTCAATGACTTCGTTTTCATCTCGAACCCGTAATCGTCAAGCATTGTTTCGTTTGGTTCCCTTTCCCGATTCGGATACGACGACACCACATAGTCTGGCAGACGAGCTGCCCGACCTCTTGGAGTTCGAGCAAAAATTGTACTGGTAAATCGCCAGCACACGTCTGAGAAGCGCCACCCCAACAGTGTGCAATCGCCAGCTTTTGACCACGCAAACGCCCTTGCCGAAGACGGGGCAAAATATTTTGCTGGGAAATGACCATCCGAATTAGCCATTAGTATGCATGTTTACAAAACCAGAAATACAAAAATACAAAATGTCACAATGGATGAATTGAGCAGTAAGAAAGCCAATGAAACTTTGGTACCACATATCCGTCGCTTTAATCTGGAAAATATACAAAACGGCTAGCACACCATTTGTTGACGTTGTGCCCACTGCGATGCCCGATGTGGTCAGTGGCAAACCAGCGGCACCAAAGGAATGACGTACTGTGCAGCCGTTGGACTACGCACCAGACTTTGCATTTGTACCTGTTTTGCGATTCTACTGGACCTTTGTCGTAGGGCACGTCAGTAGCCTCAGAAACACAGGGCGTGTGGCTGCAAATGCACTTTAAATGAAAGACTTGTCTATAGCGGAAAGAATCTGCTGAGCTTTTGGCATTGTAGGAACTCTAAATAAACTTTCCGAGTGGCGCATATTACGGGTTGTCCGGGCAGCTTACTCGATGCTAGAAAACGAAAGGCATACGAAATGGCATTACTTAAAACATCAATACAAGCCAAAAATAAAAATCTAATTTTCTTTTAACACGGTGCTCGCTTCACTGGAGGTAGCCCGAAACCTGAACACCGACGGACCGTCACTCCAGGGAATACTGCGAGGGGGGAGGAAGGTGGTTCTTAAATTGCGCATCCGAAAATATGGCGGCCCATGTGTGAATACAAGCACGACACATTGAGGACTTCGTATATACTCTTCTAAAAACTTCATAAAAAAAGCAACATCAACAAAACAACATTCCTAAAACAGTCTCGACCATGCTTCAAACCTGTACACTAGCGAACGAAGACACTTAGACAGATGCCGTGTCAAGGTCGTTCCAACATAAATACTCTGCTTCTAGCACACACGGTACCTAACTGGAAGAACAGGGAGGGGCGTGTGCCGACCGCCCCGGCCCCGCAAACGGAACACACCTAGTCACGTGAACTGCCCTCAACTGGTATACACACCTGTGCATGGCCCCACACTACCGGATCTCCGCCCACCGCACCCCGGCACAAAGTTCCAGATCGTGCTATGTCATGCCGGCAGCGTGACAAATCCTACCATCCCACTGCCGACATATTGTTGGGCAGCTGCCAATGTCTTGCTGTGCTGCTGCCGGCATTTCGCCGGTTCAATGTCGGCGATCCTACGGTCTGACTGCCTGCCTCCCGTTGAGCAGCTGTCAACATCCTGCCGGCATTTTGCCGGTCTGACGCCGACAATCCTACCGTCCCGACCGCCACCATCCTGTTGAGCAGCTACCAATGTTCTGCCGTGCTGCTGATGGCATTTTGCCGGTCCGATGCCAACAGTAGAGTGTTATGGCTGGCCGATATTATGTCGACTGTGAATTGCTTTGGAAGGGGGGGGGGGGGGGGGTTGTCGACATTCATGGACAGAGTCCTGGGGGAAAACTGCAGTTGCAGAAAAACAAAACAAACAAACAAGCCAGGTGCCCCGAAGTGACTTTTCAGAAGATGTCCGGACTGTTGGAGAAGTCCCGGTCCCAGTAGGCGCCAGTGAACTGCCACTCGTCGGCAGATGAGTATGCGCCTTTTCCAAGCTTGAACCACCTGAGGCGAAATGCACCATGGCACATTTGCTCAAGGTTTCCACGGATACTTCTGGAACCCCCTAAACTGGAACTCAAATTCATCTAGTATCTCCATTCAACAGGGGTTAGAGCTTAAATTAACAATACTGAGATTGGCACTGAAACATTTTGGCCACATTACCAGAAAGTTGCTTTAGCAACACCATGGACAGTTTCCCCAGGTAAAATTAAGAACAATTCCTCAAATAAAGGCTGAGAGTACAAAGAGCCTACCTTCATTAATTTCCCTATGCCAAGCATAATACAATTACAAATCAGCGGCGTAGACTTTCCACTTTCCCGGGTGGGGCAGGCTGAGTTCTTCCGGGGGGGGGGGGGGTGTTGCGCGTTATTTTTTCGCCAGAACTGGAGATTGAAGCTAACGAAAACACGCTGGAATTCCACTTCCCATGTATTGTGTCAATAAAGGCAACGTGCACATTCTTTTGTTTACATGCCTCTACTAGAAGCTCGTTATATGGCACGTAAACAGCGTCTCGGTAAGGATCATGGCCCGGGCCCGGGGGGGGCTCTGCCCCCCCTTGAATTTTACCAGGGGGGGCACAAGCCCCGTTGCCCCCCCATAGTCTACGCCTATGTTACAAATCATTTGGTATGCTTCTCCACCCAACTTTTTTCCCTACTGGAAACACCTCAACACCAATTCATCATTGAACGGCACTAGATAGTAGCTTAGCTTTGAATTACCGGCTAGTCTGGATGCCTTCAAGGGAGTTCCTTAAACATTTGAACCCATACTATGAAGCCATCACTCCACTTAACTGTAATGTTATCCATAATGGCTTGTTGGATATACACTATGTGACACTGTCAGCACAAACATGTCAATGACACTGTCTCACACTTCGGCATTTTAAAATGCCATTGGCAGGCACCGAATTCTCCCGCTCAAGTTAGTGCCCCGAATCGCTGCTTTGCATCACACTTGTGGTTTTGACAAATGCCCCTAAATTCTAAAAGCAAAGCAAAAAAACATCAGTGACTGGTTGTTTATGATAACAGTGTCCCGCTGTGCCCTCGCAGAGGTAAGGATGTCTCACCGTGGCTCCCATCCATCTTTGTGCTTCTTCCGCTGCTTGCGAGCCTCGCGCTGCTTTTCTTCTAGCCGGTTCTTTTCTGCGGCCGCACCGTCTGCCCAGTAAAAGAGAACCCCCACCTTGCAACGAACGCGCACAAGCAACACCAAGGCAACGACCACCAACAGCGAAAAACACGTTTGGGCAGCATGTTTGGTACAACCTTAGCAACGGTGCTCTCCCACTCACAAGCTCAATCAACGAATGACTTGTGAACAGTGTTGCCAATTTAGCAGTTTTCCCGCTAAATTTAGAAGTTTTCAGAGTTGTCCAGCAAGAGAAATGGCCGTTTCTCGAGCGGCGGGATTTTTAGCGGTTTTCAAGCCAAATTTACGAAATAAATACTAACTTAATTTCTGTCGTAAGTTAGAGCCGTCGGGTCGTCATTTTTGCTTACTGGTAACAAAACTATTGACAGTGAGAGTAACGCCTGTGCCGCCATTGATATATTACAATGACAAACTTCGAAACATGACTTCAGCTTGCCGAGCACAAATAATTTGTGTACGAGGATTTGATTTCGTTTTTCAAGCCTGCCAGACGAAATGGGCCCAATGAACTATGCAATAAAACTTAAAAAAGCATGCGGGCAACAGGATTTTAAGCTTCGAGATCAGTTGCTGGAGGGTGGTTTCATTTGAAATCGAACATGTCTGTGAAGTTGGGTTTTTGGATTAAAAAAAAAATATATATGCAATTGCCCTATGTCTGTAAGAAACAAAACCGCTTTTCATAACTAAAAAAAAAGCTATTTTTATTTTGCAAAACAAATATTAGGTAATAATATGTTTTTTAGTCCGATTTTTCTACCCAGTTCTGCATGCTGGTATGAATACAGAAAGCATTCAAAACTGACAGTAATATTTTGTGTGCTTGTATTCCACATTGACTTTTCTTAATTTAAAGAAAAACACTTCAGTATTTTTTTTTACTGCAGTAAAAAATGCCGAACATAGTCTCTTTAAAAATCTGGTGTGATATTCAGAGCCTTGTATCTCATGAGTTATTAAATTTGTCGCTTACCAAATACTACGCGGGTGTAGTCCTATACATGGGCTATCGATCGGCGTAAGTTCAGTTTTTTTTTATTTTCACAGAATATTTTATATAAAATCTTAAATATCGTCAAAAATGAGATTTACTCATATTTTGAACACACTTTATTCATAACCCCATTTTTTATTTCATTCGGTTTTATCAATATTGCTTTCAATCATATTAATGTTTAATTGGTTTGATCTGATTTCCCCCTTATTTTGTTGTATCTTCTCCAGAAGTAATCGAAATCGCACCCACACTCTCGGAACAATCAATTACAGTCTCCAGAGGTCGGCTTCGCTGCAAAGATTATACATCTTGTTTTTGTGTTAAGGTAAATTTATTTTGATTGAGAACACTCATGCTTGGCTACATATTGTATTTTCTTAATTTTGTAATGATGGCAACTGACATTCCTTAGTCTCAGCATTAGCGGTGCAGCAGATGTTCCATTATCCGGAGTGTAAAGCCGGGGCACAAAGAGCGGAGATCTTTGTGCCCTGGCTTTACACACCGGGTAATGGGACATCTGCTGCAGGGCACAGAGAGCTGAGATCTTTTCTGGATGCGCGCAGCGAGTTCTTGATTCTCGAGTTAACGACACTGCTCGTGCACCTAATCACTTTCTCGCGAAGTAACTAGCGAGTTGTGCACCAAACGACTTGCGCTCCGAATCGCTCATTCGCCGAACCACCCTCAGATTCGTACAACCACCCCGTAGCGGAGGAACTTGGGTTGCATCTCACCCAAGTCCCCCGCTTCGAGACGCCGCATGTCAGGGCGCAGCCTACAGTCCGTCCGTGGTAGGCGCTCGGGCATTCCTTCCTCCATCTCGTTCAGGGCCATGGCGAAAAGGGTGAAGTGGTAGTACTGTAGAGAGACGAGGGTAGGTGTACCTGTGACTAACTCTAGACCACACACAAACCTAGGCACTCCTACGTTTGCACAGGACGAGGTTAGAGAAGCCGGGTTATAAGCGAAGTGTGCTCTGAAGATTGGTTCTTAACATGTTCAAATACTTGAATTTAGAGATTGAAGGCAGCGTACCAAGTGCTCATTAAGCAAAAATATGCGACTCGCCTCTAACACTGGCACGAAATAGTGTTGGTTCTTACCTGCACCAAGGAAATAGCTTTTTCATAATTTCATAAGTGCACAGCATGTGGGATGGCCCACAAACTGTGGGAAGTACGATGTCCTGCAACATTCATGAGGAACGAACCGAACACAGTGCTTAAAATCTGGGGGGTCTTGGGGGATCTCGGACTACCCCACGGATTTCGACGGCAACTGTCGCGTCCCTCACGACGAAGTTGAGAACTAAACCCGCAGGTACAACCCAAATTTTTTAGGAGCGTTTACGACGCAGCGCAGAGACCCCCTGCCACCGATGGGAGACTTCAAGCACGGACCAAACGTAATAAAATTGCGGAAGACGATCAGACGAGGGACCTGCGGCAGCCATAGCGCAGGTTTGCAGTACGAACGCAGAGAGCGGTGCTTCAATGCGTGAAGGGACTCGCCTCCGGGGAGTAGTCGGGACGAGGGGTGGCCTGCCAGAGAAGGCGAGAGTTGGGGATGTCCAGGGAGTACGTCGAGTCGCTCTTCGGGATCTCGCCTTCGTCCAGCTCGCACGGCTCGGGGCTCTGCACGAGAAAAAGCCATCGTGGAATGAATCGCGCCTCGCGAACAGGAAACACCGAACACTCTTCTACCGGGTGATTCAAGAAGACGGCAGGCTCTTTAAATCGACCGGAAAATTCGGTTTCCTAACCTATCGCGCTACGACTTTGTGCAGCGTTGCCCACAGATGGTGCATTTTTTTTGTAAAATTTGCAAAGAGCGAACTTACCTGAGGAAAAAGTAAAGAAAGAAAAAGGCTTAGCTCCTACGGAAACGCAGCGACGCCACCTGTCCGCAAAACACACGGCGCCGTTTTGCACGGGACACAAGAGATGGCGCAACGAACGCCGCCAACGAACGAAAATACGGCGCCGAAAGCCAGCGTCTTTAGCAGACTATCTTTTCGACTCAAAAGCGGAGCGCGTTCCGCGGGCGGAGACGGTCGCAGAAACAAAAACAGGTGCGGTAACAACAAGGAACTGCAGTTCCTTGTCTGCTAAATACGCCGGCTCTTGGCGTCGTCTGCTCGTTCGTTGGCGGCAGTTGGCGTCGCGACCGCTTGCACCATCTCTTGTCTCCCGTGCGAAACGGCGCCGTGTTGTTTGCAGACCAGTGGTGTCGCTGCGTTTCCATAGGAGCTAAGCCTTTCTCTTTCTTTACTTTTTCCTCACGTAAGTTCGCTCTTTGCAAATTTTACAAAAACAATGCACCATCTGTGGGCGACGCTGCACAAAGTCGTAGCGCGATAGGTTAAGAAACCGAATTTTCCGGTCGATTTAAAGAGCCTGCTGTCTCCTTGAATCACCCGGTAGAACACGCCGACCGTGTCGATGTTGAGGCGGGGAGGGCCAGGGCGAATCGAGACCTGTAAATTTGAGAACCTACACCTTACGGCGTAGGTTCAAAAATGGGGGTCTGCGGACACTTTGGGGTCCCCAAGACCCTCGACCGTCAATGAATATGAGCAATAAAACTATTTTTCTATTATTGATGCTGGCTGTCCCCCCCCACAAAGCTAGATAGACCAAACCTTCTGCAACAAGCAAGTGGGGCGGATGAGTCTCCGTTTCAGAGCTTTAAGGGTGGTTTTCACGCACCTCTTTATTTACCCTTTTGTCGTTTCGGTTTCAGCAGTGAACAAAATATCACTTTTTTAATAAATAAGAGTGAATCTGGGGGAGCGAGATAGCATTTCAGAATCGGGAAGCCATCCACATTCAGAAGACGTCTTTGGATTAAGTAGCTCAAAAAAATCGGCGCAGTTCCCCTTTAAAACTGCATTAGTGCCATTTTTAATTATTTTAAAATAAAAAGAGGTGTTGCGCACATTTTTTTCAGTTTACTGCCCTCAGTGGTTTGAAAGGAGTGAATTAGTTTATTTTAGTGGGCTGCACATGTGAGGCATTGCCATGCCTCACATGTGCACGAGAACACATTTTTTTTCTGCACGTATATTGTATAGAGAACCCAAAAGAACAAGCTATATCAAATCAAATATCAGATTCATAAAGGAAAGAATAAGCACCATAAACTCTCAATTTCAATATCGTGAAGAATAAAAAAAAATTGTTCCCTTTTAATATAAACCATACAAAATAAGCTTGATATCCTTTGTTTGTGGAAAATCCTTACCAGCTTTTCTTTTGCATTCCCATTTGCTTGTTATAGGGTCTCACATTTTTTTTTTCTTTTCTTTCGCATTTTGATCAACTTGTAAAAGGACAATACACAACTCACTGATGCCACTTTACGCTTGCGTTCAGCATGCCCTAAATCTTTCTTTCTTGACGATTCTTTGATTTAAATAGGTAATGACTAGTTCGACGTCCACATTCAAAAGAAGTTTAAATATTATTTCGACGTCTGTGACGCCACTTCCTGCAGACATAAAAATATTTTCAAGAACACTGACGTCCCCCATCAAAATATTTTTTATAATTATTTTTTTAATGTCTCCCATTTAGAAGAGCTTCGAGTCCAGACTGGGAAGCGATTGAAGGTGGCGGTCAACAAAATATCATCTTGCTTGCAGGCAGCGTCGCAGTTCGACGCGCATTTTCCGAAAACAAATGTTATGCTCTCGACTGCTGTTTTTATGACCTTTAAAGTAATTTAAAATAAAGAAAAAAAAAACTTTTTAAAGTACATCAGTTATTAGGTCACCCATAATGTTTGCTTGGTTGTGCCAAACATTACAGAATGCAGCACCGCTGCTTTTCATGATTTATTTCACGTGACTTAAGGCCCGTTCACACTCTTGCGACCGACTTCGACCGAGATAGACCAGACCGGTTTTTAAGCCTTTTGCGACTTCTTAGGTCTGAATGCGATGCAGCGGAACTGGTCCTAAGAAGTCGCAAGAGGCTTAAAAACCGGTCTGGTCTATCTCGGTCGAAGTCGGTCGCAAGAGTGTGAACGGGCCTTCATAGACAAAGGAGCTGAATGCCGTATCATAAAATTTGCAGTTAATTTAAAAATGCATGTATCTGCTACAACCGCGCCAGAATATTTGTTTGTTTGCACCAGTCAAGAAACATCAAGGAGGCAATGTGTGCATTCACAACCTCTTATTTAACATCCCGATAGTTTCGTGGTTAACCCGCTCGTTATACACGTAACCAAACAGAAAGTCTAAACTAAACAACGAACTTGCGAAACCCAGTTAAAAACAGGGGAGCAAGATGCAAAGCGAGACTGCAATTATATGAAGACGCATTTGCACGATGTAGAGGAACAAAAAGCTTGCCAAATTTCACAGTCTTACGTAGTGTACGCACTTACGTTTGCGACGTTGCAGGTAAGACAGAGGGATACCCAGCTCGCCTTCGTCGTAGATTAAAAATTTTAAGTGAGACGCGTGCCGAGATGAGAGTTTAGAGCACTTAGAACATCGCCATTAGGCGTGTCACGTCTGAAAGGATCAACTGTCGAGCCAGTCCCAATGCTGCCAATTAGGATCGAAATTTCTTACGCACGCAACACATGATTCTGTCAAAACGCCAACACAACACCGACGACACCATCAGAAACTAAACAGAACGAGACTTCAAAACGGCTACCACTGCGACGGCTGCTGCATTGAAGGATGACATCAAAATAATAAAGCCACTATTTTGAAGTTTTACGGAAGTGATATCGCAGATGTCGAAACAAGTTTTTTAACATTTTGACAGTGGACGTCGAAATAGAGAGCATATCAAACAACAGACAAGTGGTAAATAAATAATTTTTTTTATTGGGGATCATTTTTGTGGGAAAGGTTTGATTTATATCATTGAAGTAAAACTGGTGTGATTTAAATCACAATTTAAATCATAATTTAATTTGCGATTTAAATTCTCTATTTTTATTCTCCACCCTGGTACAAACTACCCATCAGAACTAATTGTTTGGAAGATTGTCAAAATATTTTTTCAAGCCAATAAAAAAAAATTGTTGCATAAAAAAAAAAAAAGAAAGAAGAAGGAAATGTACGGACACTGAAAACGTTCTATTTCTACTTGACACATGGCGCCAGTGCTAACTCTCATCGCACAAGATTTCAAGAGGTTTTAAGGCGCAGGGTCATAAACAGTCACAAGTGTGTGAATCAGCCTTTACACCGCATCGCCACGGGTAGAGGGTCCCTCACCTTGGGGGGTTCGCCCTGGGCGCCGCCAGTGAGGGACCGCGTCAGGCTGTTTAGCTTGGCGTACATGCGCTTGGGCGTGTGGGCGGGGCTCGCTCCCGCTGGTGGCGGCGGGGGACCTGGGTGGTCTGGTGCCCGGAAATTGTGCGTCTGCATGTACTCCTCGTACTCCGCCACCGGCGCAGACTTGAGGTAGTCCGTCCACTTGCCGTACAGGAAGCGCTGCTTCGTCTTGCTGCAAGGAGGGGAGCAGACAAACGGCTCAGGGGAATGACCGGCTAAAGTATGTCTGGCCAGGCTCGGGTGAGCGGCCGGCCAATGTATGTTCCGCCAGGTTCGGCGGAGTGACAGGATAATGCACGTTTGACCAGATTCAGGGGAGTGACCGACTAAAGCATGTTTGTCCAGGCTCAGGGGAGTGATTGGCTAATGTCTGTTTGGCCAGGTTCAGGGGAGTAACCGACTAAAGCATGTTTGTCCAGGCTCAGGGGAGTGATTGGCTAATGTCTGTTTGGCCAGGTTCAGGGGAGTAACCGACTAAAGCATGTTTGGCCAGGCTCAGGGGAGTGATTGGCTAATGTCTGTTTGGCCAGGTTCAGGGGAGTAACCGACTAAAGCATGTTTGTCCAGGCTCAGGGGAGTGATTGGCTAATGTCTGTTTGGCCAGGTTCAGGGGAGTAACCGACTAAAGCATGTTTGTCCAGGCTCAGGGGAGTGATTGGCTAATGTCTGTTTGGCCAGGTTCAGGGGAGTAACCGACTAAAGCATGTTTGTCCAGGCTCAGGGGAGTGATTGGCTAATGTCTGTTTGGCCAGGTTCAGGGGAGTAACCGACTAAAGCATGTTTGTCCAGGCTCAGGGGAGTGATTGGCTAATGTCTGTTTGGCCAGGTTCAGGGGAGTAACCGACTAAAGCATGTTTGGCCAGGCTCAGGGGAGTGATTGGCTAATGTCTGTTTGGCCAGGTTCAGGGGAGTAACCGACTAAAGCATGTTTGGCCAGGCTCAGGGGAGTGATTGGCTAATGTCTGTTTGGCCAGGTTCAGGGGAGTAACCGACTAAAGCATGTTTGTCCAGGCTCAGGGGAGTGATTGGCTAATGTCTGTTTGGCCAGGTTCAGGGGAGTAACCGACTAAAGCATGTTTGGCCAGGCTCAGGGGAGTGATTGGCTAATGTCTGTTTGGCCAGGTTCAGGGGAGTAACCGACTAAAGCATGTTTGTCCAGGCTCAGGGGAGTGATTGGCTAATGTCTGTTTGGCCAGGTTCAGGGGAGTAACCGACTAAAGCATGTTTGGCCAGGCTCAGGGGAGTGATTGGCTAATGTCTGTTTGGCCAGGTTCAGGGGAGTAACCGACTAAAGCATGTTTGTCCAGGCTCAAGGGAGTGACCGGCTAATGTACGTTTCCACCGTCAACAAAAACGAAACAATCGCAATGTCAAGAACGCCTCGACTTGTTTAGAGTCAAGCCGTGTGTACCTGTAGCATTGCGCTACTCTGTGCACTCAATTTACAAGTTTTTGTTTTTAATTTGTGCAAACGAGTATTACCTGATAGCAATTCGCAAATTAGCTTAAATGTTTGGCAGTGAACAGTGCACGGCGCGCTCGACTCCCAAGGGTGGTGGCACTTATTGTAAGAGCCACTCCAGAATGGCCACTGGAACAGCCTCACAACTCACTTCCCCCGACGTCCTTTTGCAGTTTTTCGCATGATTGACGGTCGCATGTGATTGAGTGTCGAGATCATGCTGGAGCGCCAACTACGTTTCTTTTATAGACATGCATGATCCCGGCAGTTAAAGTTTTCGGTGCTTGTTTATGGACATTCTTTATCCAGAAGCAGCCAACAACTGCACTGCTGGACGCAAGTTCGACCTGTCGAAGTGGGTGGTGCTTCAGTGGAGTCTGCAATGGTGCGGGATTTTAACTGTGACGGCAAATGAGGAGGCTTCCGCGGGCCAATGTATGGATAGGTGGAAATGCCTTCCGTAGTTATAGGTCAGGCTTGCAATGTACGCCGCAGAAGTGTGCAATCGGTCCCTACCTGTGACGTGCAATGTGATCACCGAACAAGTGCGGAAGATGCGGGTGATGGTGTCATTTGCAAAGTGCGAGGTTACGTTGGACAACGCCGACAATGTGCTTTGAGAACGTAGCAGTGATGACGAGGGGAATGACATCACCAGTGCAGAGCATTCATAGTCACTAGTCGCGGACAGAGTGAGAACGACAGGGAGCAGCTTCAGTTGTCCCACGTCCAGTGTGAGCTTCCTAGTTCTGATAATGCCTGGGCACCTCATACACCTCGCGCGTGCCAAAGCACTCCAGAAGGCATGGATTGCATGCTGGAGGCTGGGCTTTCACAAGAGATACCCTGCCAATCCCATGTGTACGCCATAAAATGCAACTCTAAAGGTCTTTTTCTTTTTTTTCTTGCTGTGGGGCAATGTTGGGGGGGGTCGACCTATAACCGTGTAAATACGGTATGTTTGGTCAGGCTCAGGGGAGTGACCAGTTAAAGTATGTTTGGCCATAAGGCGGTACAGTAGATTTTAAAGGCTGCGAGAGTACTCTCTGGCTTCTCAGTAGGTCAATCTTTAGAATGAATAATGACTGCGCCAGCTAAGGCCCCTGCCAAAACTATGCAGCTACATGCGTGTAGTTCTGGTTGAAGTGCTTCTTCAATATTAAAGGGGTCGTGGAATGATTTTGGTACCTTTGAGTTAAGTACTGCTCAGAATCATTCCTCAATGTTTTGGTTTGGCCGCCCGCCTGCTCCCTTAAAGGGCAACTCCAGTCAATATTTTTTTAAATTTGGGATTACAACTGTTTTCAGCAAAAGCAGTGTCCCTGAATTACAAGGCTTATTTCTTTTTTCTTAATATTGTGTAGCTTTATAACTATCACTGCCCAAAGTTTGGTTTCGGGCGTTTATGGCAAAACCGAAATAATCTGCTAGAGGGATGGCAACACTGATCATCAGCTGTACGGCCGCGATGTGACATCACAAAGTTGCTGCGGTATGCGGTACAACAAATCGACTGCAGCTGCACCGCGATGTGACGTCACACGGGTGCTGCATCATTGTTCCTAGACTAAAAGCTAACCTACCTGCCGCCCGCCAAAGAGCAGCTGGTCGCATCTTTAAACTTGGTTTCAGTGGAGTATGCGGCTCCACTTTGACCGAATATTTCGACTGTGATCATACTTCGTGCCACTAAAGCAATACCAGTAATTTATTTGGGTTTTATTTTCAACTGGAATTGGCCTTTAAGCGGAACACACGGCACTTGATAGAATAGCTTGGCAAAAGCAGACTCGCAGCACAAGGTGCAGCAAACGGGAACTTGGCACAAGACTAAAGCAACGGAAGATTGCATTTCTCATCAAACACTCGACCGGTTGCTTCGTTTCTGCCTTACCCTGGCACCTGCCAAGGCCATGAGCATAGGAATGTGAACACCAACACTTTCCTGGACAGGCATATGCATTACACAAAACAAGCTAAAGAATTAGGCAAGAGGAAAAAAACTTCCGGATATGGGATGGGTCGGGATATGCGTGTCGACCACTTACTGCTTGTCGTAGACAAAGCCTTCTATCCTGTGCAGGTCCTTGAAGAACCAGCCGGCCTGCTTGAAGGTCAGCGCCGAAGTGAGGTGAGTCTTGCGGCAGGTTATCTCCATCAAACCATACTGCAAGAGGGACACCGAGACCGCGGTTGAAGTCCGCCCCCCAACCAAACCCCAATGCCTTGCACAGAAACGAGTCAACGCACCTGTTCGAACCAGAGCTTCCCAACAATGATGTTGTGTATGCAGCAGTTGACGTTGGCCCATGTGTACTCCTCCCCATGTCTGCAACAGAGCAAAACGTAGAAGAGGAAGACCCCAGTGAAGCCGCCGTGAGGGGAGTTTGTCTTTGGGCTGTTGACATCGCCGCAGGGGTAGCATATTTGCCAAATTACCCAAGCATCGAGGATAATGTTGGGAGCATAGGTACACGTGCTTGACAACCTTGTATGAAAAGTTTGAACTAAATAACCAAAATAAGACCTTGAAGTGAAATTTGTTTTAGCTTATTTGCCTCCGAACGGTACCACTGCAGACGCTAGTCAGTGCAGCGCACGCAACTATACTCGCAGCATGCTCTTCGGTACTTGGGTAGTTTAGTGAAAGATCTAGCATTGAGCTTTTTTATCAACCATGCCCACAACACACAGTTTTTCTCGTCACATTGCAATTTAGTAATCTGGACCGAAAAGAACACGGCAACGTGACAATCTAGCCATCACAAAACCAAAAGCAGTGCCAATGACAATGTCCACGGCCCAAAACTTGTCCCCTCATAGAGCAGAAACAAGAGCCGTGAACCGGACTCACGAGAGCAGTGTGACGCAGAGGTGACCTTCGGGCTTGATTTCGATGGACTTGCCCCAGAATTTGAGCTTGGGGTAGACCGAGCCGTGCACCTTGAAGTGGGGAGACTCCGCGTGGAAGGCACTCACCGGTGGGTGGTGACTCACTTGCTCACATACCATGCGGAAACCAACCTCCTCCCTTCATGAAAAAAACAAAATGAGCCGACCGGGAGTTGGCAAATTAGTGATCCGTCACGATGTTTGCAAACGAGAAGGTAGCGAAATGCAATGCTAACAACTGGGCAGACAAGATGCATCAACGACTTGGGGGCTTGTTGACTTGTCACTAGCACAACATTAGACTGCATCTGCTTTAAAGTAAAATAAAGTTAGCCAACCCTTCTTCTTGAGTCGATGCCAATAGAGGCAGCTAACAACAAATAAATAAAATATTGAGTGACTCGTAACTGCTACACAAGCTGTAACCTTAATGGAGGTTATCAGCAAAATTCATACCTTGAATGTAGTAGTAGTTATAACAAAACTTGGCCGTGACAGGAAGAAAAAAAAAAAAAGCTTTATGCATTTGAAATGTGTACCTTTCGACAAAATAGCAAACTGTCATTGAATGTACACACACGTACAAGTATCCTATATTTCACTACATGAAAAAAATTAGCAATGTTCCGTAAACATTACTACCGTATTTACACAAATGATGGCCAACTAATTTTCAATTTTTGAAAATCTGAAATGGAGGGGTCAACTTATAATTGAACCAAAGCATTCCACCGCCAACAAAAATGAAACAATTGCAATATCAAGAACACCTCGACTTGTTACGAGCTCAGCCTGCTGTAATTTTGTTTTTTTTCTTATTTGCACAAACGAGTGTTATTGATAGCGATTTGCAAATTAGCTCGAATATACGGTGGTGAACGGCGCACGGTGCACCCGACTTTAGGGAGTGGTGGCTCTTCCTGCAAGAACCACTTCAGAATGGCCACTGGAACTGCCTCACACCTCACTCTGCCTCACCCCCACTGCTTGTTTTTTTTTTCCGCAGTTTTTCGCACGATTCATGATCGCCTGTCGTTTGATTGAGGGTTGAGATTATGCTGGAGCGCCAACCAAGTTTTTCTTTATTGACAAGAGTGATCTAAGCAGTTTCGGTTTTCAGTGCTCGTTTATGGACATTCTTCATCCAGAAGCAACAAACAACTGCATTGCTGGATGAAAGTTTGACTCGTTGAAGCAGGTGGTACTCCAGTGGCGTCTGCAACAGCGTGAGATCTTAACAGTGACGGCAAACAAAGAGGCTTCCGCGGGCCAAAGTCTGGACAGTCCGGAGCTAGAGGTCAGGCTTGCAACGTACGCCACAGAAGTGTGCAATCAGTTCCTACCCGTGACATGCAACGCATTCACCGAGCAAGCGCGGAAGATGCGATTGATGCTGTCCTGTGCTGAGTGCGAGATTTCATTGAACAATGTGCTTTGGGAACATAGCAGTGATGACAACGGGAACGACAGCACCAGTGCGGACGAATTGTATTCTCCAGTCGCACACAGAGTGAGAACGACGAGGAGCAGCTTCAGTTGTCCTGCCTCCAGCGTGACCTTCCTAGCTTCTATGACGCTTGGGCATCTCATGTGCCTCGCGTGTGCATGCGCAGTCAAAGCACGCCCGAAGGCATCGACTGGCACCCGACGACACGACAGAGCAAGAATAATACCGTACCGAATCAGTTCGTAGGTCTCTCCCAGCAGTGGGTTGAAAGGTTTACTCAATCGCTCGAGATTGGAAGCCAAGGCAGACACAGCAAATGCAGTCACCAGCTAGAAGCGAACAGAGAGGCGGGGAACCAACATTAACGATTGTCAGACAGCAGTCTTTTGAGTCATCTAAACCAAACATTTCGGAATAGCTAGGCAATACTCTTTCTGGCACGCTATTTATTATCTCCAAATTCAAAATAGCTACCGAGAAAACGGCACATGAAGGTGATGCCACATGTTGTATAACTTGCAAGTCGAGCAGCCAGCCTCTAATACACGATACTTTGCGGATGTTTTTTTTTGTTTTGCTGGCGACAGCTTAGCTAGTATTTATTCCAGACTATCACATTTCTTGTAACCCTTCGGAAACAAAGTATATTGTCCTGATACTGCCCCATATTACAAATGACGTCAGATTTTCGGTGTTGATGGTAGAACCACTCGGCCTCCGGGACAAAAATTTAAAACTTCAATAACATTGCAGAAAAAAAAAACAATTGACTTTTAATTTGAGCTACCAGTTCAAATGCATCTATTCACATATTGAACCAATCTCGAGGCAAATCGGCGACGATCAAAATTTCGCCAGAGCTCCCATTTGATGTTATTTCTGTGGAACGGCATTCGTGTGATCGGCAAATCAATGTGCGATCCACAGCCTTTTTAGTTTACTGATACAGTGCAATCCACTAATGACAATACCGCGTAAAATGATGCACCGCTTATAACGATCAGTTTCTAGAGTTTCTAGACTGGAAATGATCAGTTTCTAGTCCAGATATGATAATCAGTTGTTTTGTATCTTAAAAAGTGTTGCTGCAAACACGAAATGACAGTGCACCACACAAAAGGCGTCACAGCTGTTTGTGGGCACTAAAGGGAAATAAAACATTATTATATTATTATTATTATAACGATTGAAATTTCGGGTTTTCTCAGTTTTGTTATAAGTGGGTTGCACTGCAGTATATGTTTATTTTATGATCTCAGTATTTCGATTTGTCTTAATCCTTGCCATAATCTTTGCAAATTAAATTTTCAATATTAATGAAACTAACTAGGCTAAATCAAAACCAAAGACATATTTGTAATCAGATTGTAATGGCAGATAAGTTACGTAAATTCCATTTGAACTGAATCGCAAGTTGTATAAAGAAGCTTTAAGGCCCGTTCAGGAATACACAGCAGCACCGAACCGTCGCTCAAAGAGATGCCCTTGTGGTGTTGATGCTATGCCAAGTATTTGGTTGAATGGCTGTTTACACACACAGCGCAGTGGGGTGTCATCAGTTCAGGAGCAATGCATTGACATTGTCTTGCTGCTCACCACTGCGGAAGAGTGCATGAAAAATTATGTCAATTCTTGCACTGTCGAAGCTGTGCCGCAGCACTGTGCTGGCATCAAAAAGGCCGAGTTGTGGAACGACGAAGTTGTAACGAGGCTCTTGCCGATAGGTGCACGATTACTCCAGATGTAGGGGGATAAACTAACGCCTGGAAGAACCTTGCGGGGGCACGAAATATTTCACCACTGAGATAGTGAGGCCTACTAAATCCAATAATTTATTGTTATCTACGTTCATCACAGCTCCTTCTGCTTCTTTTTCTTTTAGCCCCATAACTAAATAACACTATAACTGGTTGTTTTTCTACGTGCAGTTCGACGAAGAAGAGTACGCCACATATCTCACTGATGTAGCACCGATGTAACGATGCACTCAGCGTCACACCGGCGATAAGTCACGTGCAAGTCAGAGCGATATCAGCGCCATTTTCCAGTACCAATTCGGCGCTGCACTGTATGTTTGAACACCGAACCAACTGATTTTAGGCACCTTTTTGACTTTAGCCGCCAGGCGAAGCCGGCAGTAGCCCTATGCGACAGACCGATTCTCGCGCCACCTTTGTTTGTTGAACGTTTGGCAGACTCAAACTCCCCTGCCCGCTAAGCTGAAGGCTCTTCTGCCACATTGCATTCCAATGGAAGCTAAACCAAATTTGGTTTTTGTTCGTGGCATGCATGGCACATTTTGTGATATGACGTCACGTGACAGTGCAAAGCAGAGACGTTGCGTGACGTCCCGAAGTCAATGGGTCTAGTAACTTTCGGTGTCAAGTTGTGTAATGTGACATCAAGTTACATGACCATACTGCATGACCAATGTCATGCGACACGACATGGCACTCTAATTTAACATTGTGATGGCATGTCATGTGAAAAATTAACAGATTTCGCGGGTCAGCCAAACGGTGGGCGCCTGGCATGCCCCGGCAAAGGACTGAAGACTAATTTTGGCCACCTAGGGATCTTCCGACGTGCAACCGAGAGAGACTAATCAGAGCGTGCCAGCAGAAAAAAAGTTGTGAAAATCCACCGCTTCTCATACACAGCAACTCTGCATGTAACTTTACGATAGAAAGATAGCAATACAGTTGCATTTTTTCTCACTACGCTAACCGTTGGGAGCACGTGCAATCGTATGAATGGCACCCACTTCCATTCTGTCAACAGGGTCCGAGGCTTGGTCCGCTTGCACCAAGAGGTGGCTGTACTCCATATTCTCCGATATGCGCTGGAGGAAGCTCAGTGGCTCGTTGAACACCACAGGCATTGTGATCTTGGACAGCTCCTGCACACACAAATAACACGTGCATCCATTTTAAGAAATAAAAACCCACTAGAATAAACTTTTTTTTTCTGGCATATCTAGTTCGATTGAGATTAAACTCTTTCGTATCTTCTAATACAGTTTTTTCCCACTTTTTTTTACGCTATCTCGACCAAAAACTATTGCACAAAGTAGGTCCACATATTCTATGACTAGCAGATAGTGCGACAAAGCTATTCTCATAATTTCAGCGTCGTCCCCAAGAACGTTACTACACGTCATAATCGTTTCAATGGTAAACTGAAATGAATCATTTTTGTTGCTAACCATTGCGCTCCCGAATTTACAAAATTTAGAACCAAAGACATGAAATTTTTGTGTTATTACGGCCAAAACATTAATTAAAACAAAAAAATATTTTCATAAACAGCCGGAATATGCAACTTGGAATCAATGTAACTAAGTAAGTACAAACTTCTCAAGTGTAATAATTATCTATGAGACCGAGAATAATTTCAATCTACCACTCTTTTGAAATCGGAACCACCAGGTGGAGTGCAAAGAAGAAAGTAAGAATGAAACTGAACTGCATTTATACGCGGTAATCGAGAAGACACCAGAAACAAATTGAAATGCATCGTAATTCTATGGATAAAGGCAGTAGACACATAATGAGCAGTGTACCTGAGCTCCTCCCACCATTAGGAGACTGACTTTATAAAGGCGTCCTAATTGGGGGACACTTTCATAACAAACGCCTCTACTACAGAAACGCCCGTTTAGCAAAGTAAAATGAAGTCCCTGCCAATCTTTTATGTATTCAATGTGCTTCTCTGACTACTACAACGAAATCCTCTGACAAATGTTTGTTTAACGAAGCAATTTCGATTTATTTATTTATCAATACTGCCAGCGCATTGGGGCCAAAGCAGGCTTGAATGATTCAAGTACAATTCACAATTTTCACCGAGTGAAAACAATTCACATTTTTCATTGCATGGTCCCATAAAGCAAAATTTTCATTTCATCTTTTCGTAATGCCCTCAGCTCGAAAATTAGCCTTAAAATAGATGTTGAAAGACACCAAATCTTTTAAAAGAGTAAGCCCTGAACCTCCCCGAGTCCGAATGAATATAAATTCCCAAAAAACTGAACGTCATCAATAAACAATCATCAATGCACTACGCTAGCAAACTTCCACTTGAGCGGGCCACACTGAACAAAAAAAATTGAGAAAACCCAGGCGTGCCCAGAGATCCCCAGCTCTTGTAATTACAACACGGTAACACGTCTACCGTGAAAGGCTAAAGAAGGGATTCCCAAACCTTTAAATCTCGAGAAAAGTCTATTTCTCAGTAACGGTTACTGGGGATCCCCTTCTGGCCTTAGCATGGATGCAATAAAGAAATGCAGATGCCTACAGACCTTGCAAGATACAGTGCTCATAGCCATGCATCAATGAGTGGCTCAAATATGCTACGAGAGTGATTACACTGGAAAAATACCTCACTTAGGTGCGAGGAAAGTCGAGGAAATTTGGGGACTCGGGGAACCGACGAGCGCACCCTGGGAATCCCTCTTGAGAATCCACGGCTGAAGCGTAGTACAACCTCGGTTACCGCAATGGGCACAGTAACCGTGAGGCACCAAGGTAAGGCTGATTCCGTATGCGTGGGACAAGCCCAGAGGCTAGACGAGCGTACAGGTGAGGGACTTACCTTGCCTATGCATTGCTTTAGTATGCTCCAGAGACTGAAGTCATTCTTGGAAAACATGGGCACCGGAAGACGAACCCTGGGGACGGCCGGGGAAACGACGGAAGAGAGTCAGTCAAACAGCGGTGGAGTGTGCGGTCGGTCGGACAGGGGTGAAAGCCAAACTCCCGCACGCACAGGGTATGAAATCAGATCAAGGTTCCTATTGTTAGAGCGCCTAATACTTGTTTGTAACACCGTACAAATAAGGGAAGTTTTTGTTTCGTTTTTTTAACAACTATTAAAAACAACTTTTTGGGCAACACAGCATCTTCACACTGTGGTGGATGCAAGCGGCAGTAGGTTAAAGAGATGCTGAACCGAAATTCGGATTTCACAAAATAAGCTTGCAGAAGTGTTCAACAGGGTGCCATAAACTACGAAACATCACTCATATAGCCATATCTCGAGCGGATGGCCGTATCTCTGGAAAATGAAGGAGCGAATGAGGGAGAATGTTGATGTCATTTTACGCAGCAGAGTTGAGAAGGAGGAGAAACAGCCTCGCTCCCTTTCCTCTCCACGCCCTCGCGGAGTCAAAGCGAAAAGAGGAGGAAATGAGAATCGCGAGGTCATGAGTCTTTTCGGCCTTGTGCGCGTGCGCTCTTCATTTACAAAAATACGACGATCCGTTGGAGATACCGCATTATGAGTGGCGTTTTGGGATTTTTAGCGTCCCGCCTATCGATTCTGCATTGTTTTCCGAAATTCGATTTTCGGTTCAGATTCCCTTTAAAGTTCAGATCAAATATACATTACCAGAATCATTTAGAGCCTATGATGAAAAAAACGATGCCCAAAAAATTAGCAAATATATAGACCGACACTGTTTACAAACAAGCCCGCTTTTGCCCACACCGGGTGTGGGCACTGCGCGTGCGCAGAAACCGAATTTGTGTGCAGTGAAGTGTCTGCGCATGCGCAGTGCCGTCGACAGCGCCACCGCAGTTGCGTGTTGTCAGGGCCGCGTGTTGGTCTATATGCCGAGCGCAAGTTTTACAGCGCTACCCGATAGATGGCGCCAGTGCGTTCTTTCCTCTTAAGCAGCTTGAAAGCACTCCATCACATTCAAACACCAATGTGTATCCGCCCTTTATGCTGTGAAAGAGAAGTGTCGGCCCGGGAATTAACTTAGGTTCATATTTCCCTTGGAACGAGTTTTCACCGCTGTGCATAACGCAGGTAGCATGTGATCCGACGATAATATTGACTAGTGCATGCTCCCAGGCGTGTACACCGCGCAACGCTGTTAGCATGAACAGGACTTCGCTTTTTTTTTTCGCATTTTACTTCGAACAGGTACTGGTGGGCATCAAACTTTACCGCTTAGCTTAGTTCCCCAAACTGGCACTTTTCATCACATTAGTAATAACTGAAAAAAAAAAAAAAAAAAAAAAAAACGGCGATTTCTTTTTTTGCGTTAATAGTATTGCGCAGTGTACAAGCTTTCTACAGAGACAGAAAAAAAATATAAGACCCAACAATTTGCCTTTTTTGGGGTGGGGTTCATATTCTATGGTTTATTTCTATGCAGTATATTCCAAATACCGAAGGAAAAAAAATACGTTACGGAAAAGAAAAAAAAAAAAAAAAAACCGATCTCGTAGCACTGAAAAAAGTGTTTCTCGCACGAAAGGCGCACATCGACAGAAGCGCGACTTCCTAAAACACAGGCTTCTCCGCAGTACGTCGGCGTAAAGCGAGAAAGCCGACGGGACTCCACAACATTGATGTGGCCTTCGCGTGTGGCCAGCTTCCATTCAACCGGCACAATGCAGAGCCTGGCATTTCGTTTTTTTATTATTTTTTACGAACACACCGTGCCGCACTGGAACACACACAAAATCAGATCAGCAACTGAATAGCCACCCATCAAAAGCGTACGCGATGAAAGAAGTTCGTGATCGCATCCATCAAGAAACGCCAACCAAGCTCCACAACAACGCGTCGAGCATGAGAGTTCGACCACGGTGCGAAAATGCCCACGACCTCAACAACTGGGGATCTACCGGCCGGTGCAGCCACGGTCGCACGAATCGTCTCCGCGGAGGAGAAATTTAAGAAAACCAAAAGTAAAACTGCTTGCCATCGATCGCGCAAAGCAAAACAAAGGGAACACACGGAATACCCACAACATTCAGAACCACAAAAATGAACTGTACCGTCTTTGTGGTTGTTGAGCCATGGTCTGAACGGCGATGAGATCGTCGCTAGAAAAGCTGAGCACCAATTTTTTTTTTTCCCGTTCACCACACGATGACGACGACACAAGTTTCGCAGAGTCGGAACTAGCCGTTCACAATTCTCGTTGCAACCGCATCCATACTCGTCGACGGTATGTGTGTCGGAACTCGGACAAAAACACACGCACGAGCGGCAACCGGCTGAACAAACAAAAAGGATGAAAAACAATCACACTGGAGTCAGGCGGCACGGCTGACGAACCACACGTGAATCACCCGGCGATTTGTTTCTTTTCTTTTTTTCCTTCGTTCGCTTCCTCGTCTGATGTTCGGTACGGTGGCCTTGTGTTACGTGCACCCGACCTCGGACAAAAGCGCCCGATGGAAGACGAGCTACTACTCTGCGGAGCACCACCGCTACCACCACCGCCAAACGATTCGTCTTCTTCGTCCGCACTTCAGTCTTCAGAAAGGAACTTGAAGGGATACCGAGTAAATCACAACCGCAGACGAAGGTTTCAACACCGCCGCCGAAATCACAAACGAAGAAAATCCGGCGAAAACGAAAGGAACAGAGGTTTGTCCAAATTGCAGACGACTTGGAAGACCCGGGTGTGGTCGCCAACCACCGCCAGCAACTAACCAACCGCCGTTCGGATTGGCAGACGACACCACAACAGCTGCGTCGTCTGCTTGCTTTTGTGTCGTTGATCGGGGAACCCCGCAGCGTTCACTTCGGAGGGTTGATTCGGGGGTGTCCGGCGGTGGTCGAAGATGGTTTCGCGGGGGAGGGTGTCTATCGTCGTCGGTCGTACACCCCTTCGTAAATGGAAATCGCCGATGAAGAGAACCCAGGAGGTCGATCGATGGCACGGAGCGTGCGAGCCGCGGGGGAAGAGCGAGAGAACCGCGCTTGCTGAGGGCGCCTCGCGGCGGAAGTGCGCATTTAATAGCGGGAAAAACAAAGCGAAGAGGCGATTTCTTATTTGCGTTGGTTTACTCTTTAATGCGCTTCCGTCACTTAACTTCCCTCTCTACGAGCTGGGGAACCAGCTGCGAGTCAGTTGAGAGCGGCGCTAGTACTTTGCCATTACCGTGAGCCAGTAAAGGTTATTATTTCTATGATTATTATTTAGTTTTTTCGAAGGATATCAGATCAAATTCATCTTAACATATATGCACCCACACTTTTGGAAAGAAGCAATACTTTGTTTCAGTACTGTAAGCCTCGCTGAAGTGAGTGAAGACGGCCTTTTTTGCCACTACTGTGGACAGATGCATATTGGACAAAAGATGAACTGAAGGATTGTTCGCAACAGCGCATGTTCAGCTGCGTGAATCAGCAAGTCCTTCGGTTGTAGGCACTTTACGAGAACGAAGAACAATTTGCATTCTCGACACAGAGTGTCCTGCCAAGCGAAATCGGAATTCAGAATCACCTCGACGAGATTCGCAAACCAAATAGGTCCATTTTACTCTAACAATGTCACTATTTCGTGTTTGATCAGTGACATTAACTGGCTTGTCATACTTCCCCGAAAGTGTGTCACGGACACCACTACTAGTACACTAGTACAACATTATTAGTAAAGGTGTCAGTGAGATTTTTAACTAATAAGAAAAATTAAGATACCATTTTAGTAAACAGAAATGGTGCAAAAAAAAAATGATGGCGCTTGTAAAACAACTCGAAACAAAATTAAAATTTCATAAATAGTGCCTTTTATAAACATTAGTCTTCATCACATATTTACAGTAGCAACCGCACATTTTGTTGAAAGGCCTGTCATTACTCTGGACATGACTGTATACACAAAATAACACACGCTCACTGGCACCATTGCATTGCGACTAGAGTTCCAGGTTGTCCGAGTTCCTTTCCAAGTTTATTTTTTGCATAAAATTCGGCTTTGATTGGACTTCTCTTACCCTCAGAAATCTGGCATTCATTGAAGTACATACAATTCTCCCAACTTGCGAATAAATATGAATAACATCCACACACTAACACAACCAAAGATACAGGAAGTCAGTTCAACTGCGACCAATATTTACAAGAAACGTGTGGACCACCGTTGTGACCCTGAAATGCAGCGATACTGACCCGCTGTCCTGAATGGATAGTAAGGACAGAACCCCTTTGTTATGTATTGAGGAGACTTGGGTGGCCTCTCCATAGCAGTGGTGTAGCCACAAATTTTTTTGGTCAGTGACCGGTTAAGTAGATGACACGTCGAGTACAGCATAAAATACTATTTTGTTTGATTTAAAAAAAAAAATTATGAATTAGCAAGGGTGCTTTTTTGCAAATTGAATTGACAGGCACCTTGTCAAGAACAAACCTTAACAGCCAGGCTATGCCAGTGTATCCTGTAAAAGAAAATGCTCACTTGGGTAAGCGCTATTTTACGCCAGATTTAATCCAAGTACGAAGGTGCTCGTAGAATGGAGTGAACAATTTCCATCGCTCCTTTCAGCATGATTCTTCCCCTGCATCACGATGCTGAGTGTAAACAATGCTAGTTAGGAAAACGGGCGTTGGAATTGTCGCTCAGTGTTTCTAAAAAAGGTAGACTGAAATCGCATGTCCTAAAACTTTTGTGACGTTTTGACAATGTTGTTGCTTTTAGCTCAGTTGTGTCGCCATCATGTTTATATTGTGAAACATATTTCATAAAACATAGTTCACAATATATATGGCGACGAGGTGCCCATTTTGTGATTTTATGCACTGTAATTAATTCCTTAGTTCAAACGCACAGCTACAATTTAACTTTTAATACTGCAATGCAAAGTTGTACCAATCACGGGTATTTTAGGCGACCTACCACACATCGCGACAACCTTTTGATTCAGG